GGCATTTTTTGTGTTTTTTGTGTTCTAATATTTCTTTTTCAGATGAGAGATAAACTACCCCTGCTTCAGGGATGACAGTAGTATGGATCATGAGGAAATGAGCCTCTACTTTGGCACCAAAGCCCACAATATGAATTGAGGACGATCCGGGAGAAAGCAACTGGAGATGAACGGAACAGTAAATCTACACACACACACTAGGTCTCCCTGACCCAACCCGGCCAATTCACTCAGACTGTGGATAAGCGGTGTGGGTGCATGGTGTCGGTACTTTTGCAGTCTCACGGAGGGCCACTGAGACCCACTGCTTACTTCTCAGCAAAACTCGATCCCGTGGCAGCAGGGTTGCCTCGCTGCCTGCGGGCTGTGGGGCTGCCGCTGAGAAAGCGGCCCTAGCATCACGTGACCTTGTGGGATACACTGAACTAACTTTGCTTGTGCCCCATGCTGTTTCCCTGATCCTGCTAGAGCAGAAAACCTCTCACCTTTCTGCGGCTCGTTGGCTGAAATACAACACGGTGCTCTTTGAACTCCCCAATGTCACGGTGAAAAGATGCACACAGCTGAACCCCTCCTCACTGCTGCCCACGCCAGAGGAAGGGGAGGAACACTGCTGTATCGCCACAATAGAACAGATATGCACTCCCAGGCCAGACCTGAAAGAGGTGCCTCTGACTAATCCTGACTTGATTTTTTATACAGAAGGATCCGCGTCACGTGACAACACTGGGAAGAACCGAGTCGGCTATGCTGTGTGCTCTGATTTTGATACTATAGACTCTGGTAGTTTGCCCCCACCACCATTCAGCACAAACCGCTGAACTGATCGCGCTCACCAGGGCTTGTGAGCTGGCAGCGGGCAAAACTGTTAACATATTCTGTGATAAGCGTTATGGTTTCTCTGTGGTGCACGACTGGGGGGCACTGTGGAAACACCGCAATTTTATGAAATCTGATGGTAAACCAATTCTTAATTCCACACAGGTTGAACATCTGCTGAAAGCTGTAATGTTGCCCTTAGAGATCGCTGTATGCAAATGCCAGGCCCACACTAATGCCACTGACCCCATCTCTGCAGGGAATCGGCGCGCGGACAAGGCAGCGGCATACGCACCTCTACACACACACACACACTACCTCACTCAAGACGTTGATATTTTCTCCTCTCTGTCAACAATGCAGGCACAGCAGAGACGATGCTGGGAGGGAAATGGGGCTCAACGACGGCATGGTGTGTGGCTGGGACCAGACCTAAAACCGCGCTTACCACGGCATTTCTTCAGACATTTTGTGATTTTAGCACATGGTCGAGACCATGCCTCAAAAGGAGGGATGTGTAATTTAATCACACAAAATTGGTATACGAAGGGGTTTACGGCATTTGCACAGAGATTCTGCCAAACATGCGCTATCTGCCTCGCGCACAACCCAGGTAAGTCCCAAATTATCCAACAGGCTGCCCATCCTCCGCCCCTGCGCCCATTTCAACATGTCCAAAGGGACTTTGTTGAACTCACACCATGCCAAGGTAAGAAATACTGTCTGGTTCTGGCGGATCTCTGGTCCAAATGGACTGAAGTATTTGCATGCAAACACGCCACGAGCAACGCGGTGGTGAAAGCTCTGCTCACAGAAATTGTGCCACGATGGGGTGCCCCGAGAAAAAATCTCTAGTGACAATGGCAGTCACTTTGTAGCAAAAGTCATTGAGGAAGTAGGTGAATTTCTGGGCATTGATATACGTAAACACTGCAGTTACGCCCCCTGGAGAGGAGGCGCGTGCGAGCGAGAGAATGGCACTCTGAAAAAAACAACCTTGTTAAAATCTGCGAACAGACAGACCTGTCTTGGATCAAAGCTCTGCCGCTAGCCCTCATGTACATGCGCATGAGAGTCAGGTCAAGGTCAAACCTAAGCCCATTCGAAATCCTCTTTGCCAGACCGCCCAACTTGGGCGCGGGACCCCCGAACAGAGATCTGCCAAGCACCTCTTTGTGTGATGACGACATGCTGTCCTATTGTAAGGAAATTAATGCACTTTTGCCCTCGCGCACAACCCAGGTCAGGAGCGCCCTGCCACAGGCTGCGCAGGCGGCTCCGCACAAGATCAAGCCAGGCGACTGGGTCCTGGTGAAGGAAACGAGACGACAACATTGGCGGTCCAAGCGCTGGCTAGGCCCATTCCTCGTCCTCCTGGTGACGGACACTGCCGTTACCACTGTCGTGCGGTGCTGCCACTGAGGGCCATAGACGAGGACACCGAGGGTGGGGACGGACCAGGCCCATCCGCGGCTCCCTACGCTGAAGAGGTTGGCCGGCGTGCGACCACCGTCGGTGAAGCAGGCCAACAACAACACCCAGAGAATCCCAGCGTTCCCGAGGCAACCCCCTTTGCCCAACTCCCCTGCCTCCGAATCCCGAGACGACCCCCTGTGGGGCACTAATGTACCCGATGACCACAAATTATGGACCACAGGCCAGAAAATAATGTTAGCATTATTCCCCAGCCTGGGTGTAGGTAAACTAATGCTAAGGACGGAGACCCTGAGCTATAGGTTCTCAGGTTTTGTCAATACCACAGTGGCCATACTTGAATCACAGAGAGTTGAACTTCACGACCTACGTGCCGTTGTTCTTCAGGACCGGTTGGTCCTGGACCACCTGACCGCGTCTGTGGGAGGCGTAGGCACGATCATTGGGTCGTCCTGCTGTACATATATTCCGGCTAATGATGAGGACGGAGGTCTTATCCAACAGGGCATAGCCAATCTGACTAGACTCCGGGACGCCATGCAAGCGGACAATGTCACGGACACTCCTCACGGTCTGGACTGGCTCCTGTCCTCCTGGCGGAGTGTGCTCATTAATCTTGGTTTAGCCCTATTGACTGTTATGATTTTATTTTCATGTGTATTACCTATGGTGTTTCGGGCCGTTGGTAAAATGGTATCCACTCACTTTGTGTCCATTCAATACAAAGACCCCGAGGCGGACCTGGCCGCTGTCCCACTGAACTCCGATCCTGATTATATCAGCGATTCGGACGATGACTTTGTCTAACGTTTTCTTTCTTGTTTACCTTGTTTTTATTTTTCCACTTGTTTTGCTCAGGGACCAAGGTCAATACTCCCCCACCTGAATGTGATCTCTGTAAAACTGGGGTTTCTACATTATCACGGGAGAGGAGTGTGATGGCAAGCGGCCTAGACTCGGGGACGCCAACTCACCCCCCCTGCTGCTCTATTCAATTAAACCTGCAGGAAGGAGCCGGGCTTCCCCCCGCACCTACAGACAATGACTGTCTCACCCTTGTCCCTTTTGCATCTTGCATCTGTATGTCTGCATCTCTACATCCTGCATGTCCATTGTCTCTCTGTTTGCATCTCTATGGCACGGTCTGATTGCCTCCCCCCGGACTTGGCGCCTCGCCTCTGGATGCGCCTCCTGTACTGGTGACCCCCTCCCATCTTTTGTGGGCGTGACTGTCTTTCATGTGTTGTCTATGTAAACAGGAACCTGGTCTGGCCGCGTCAGAGCTTATGGACGCTGCTTTGTGTATGTGAGCTCTCCGCACGTGTGTACAATAAACTTACGCTCCTGAATTAAGACAAATACTTTTGAGCTTTCTCCTTCATTGGGGTATGTAATTCTACGACACCACCCCAGTGTTTTCCTGGCCTTATCCATCCGTACACTCCGTTCAATCATCATTTCACTGCATGTAACGTCTGGGTCTGGTCCCTGTGTTAGCGATTACAATCGGTTGAATTTCGACCGAACATTCAGAGAGCGCGGAAGGAGAGTGATGTAGTTAGATGTGGGTGATGTCAAGAGTTTGCGTCGAACAGGCAGGTTGTAGTTTGGTAATGGCGAAAAATGCGATAGTAAAGTATTTGGGTCTGGTTCTATCAAGAAAATGAAGCCGGAGCAAGAGGAATGTTTAGCAAAAGTAATCGCTGAAAAAATTATTGCGCTACTCCCCACGGGCTCTGTTAGCGGCAAAGGAGATGGCTAGGCTAAATGCTAAATGCTAACAAGAGACTCGGGCGCACTACATACGTCACAGTAAACTCAGATCCAATCGTTTCAATCTGCAAAAGGAGTTAACACCTCCCACCTGTAAACGGAGCTCAATGGAGCACCTCCAGACCTTAGTACCAAATGTCATTTGTACTAAGGTGTGGTACGACCAGGCTACCCCAGTGTGCACCAGACAGAAAAGATGGTACACACCAGAGCTCTTGGTGAAATACATAGATATTCATTTCAATCCACTTATTTACATAGCAAACTTCACAAACACAAATTCCAAAAGTGCTGAAAAATTAATCTAAATATAAAGTCTTAAAGTCCTCGAACAGTAAGATAAGAGAACATTTCTTGGTCTCACATTGGGGAAATGTTGGTGTTGCAGCGCACAAGTAGCACCTGAAATACACATTGATAAGTAGCAATAAATGCTCTTTGGCTTTAAAGACTGAAACATATGCCTATGATGCACTCTGGAAGCAATAAATATACATATAATGTGAACTAGGAGGAAACAGAATATTCTAAAACTCTAAAATTAATAATAAAAACTTTAAATTTTGAAGCAACTGCAACTATGTTATTCATGTGCAAAAAGTAATGCGATTATTTGTTTTTAAGATATTGTGAATTCTGAAATGATCGATGATTGTGTGATTAGAAACAGTTTGGCGTCTTTAAGGCTTGAATCATTACATGCACGCTGACCGCAGTGTGAGTGTAATGAAAATATCAATGGAAACCTGACCAGGGATTCTCCTTTCTACGTATGTTTAGCAGTAAAACTTTGGTTTTAGAGGAACACTCGAGTCAGTGCTGCGTCTGGCACTGATACTGAAAGCCCACAGACCACAGAGACACAGATACCTCAAAAGCAATGCAGACATGAACTAGTATAAATACTCACTGATCACTGGACTCGACATTAGTCTCTTCATCTTCGTCCAAACGACTTGACACATTAGTGCATTATGGCTGTGGTCTGCCTGCTGGTTATCTGTGCTGCTGCTCTGGCCTCCTGTGGTCCCATTTACGTGCCTCCCAACTTGGACCAGGCCCACAAATCCATTGTTGCCTCACTGGTGAGTACAAACTTACATATATTTCAACATGTTTTTTTATAGTCTAAACGTAGATTGATACTGTCATGTTATTGCTCCATTCAGCAGAATACTTTGGAAATGTTTTACTAAGCTTACAATAATTACTTATGTGTTTGATAAATATACATGCTGAGTGTCCAGCTATGGATACTTTGCACACATTTATCTTGAATTGCATTGATAATATATAAATCCTTCAAAGGATTAAAACAACTTTTTTGAATTTTCCATTATTGTTTCTCACTAAAGGGTAAAACACCCTCACATACAAAGAGTGCAAATCTTCTCTATTATCATTTTGGATTTTAACCTAAATTACATAATCCAACACCACGTTGTTTCCCTTTATTTTTTGTAACTGCATTTTGAAAAATACTTTACGATACTCAAGTACTCATTATGAACACATGTTTTATAACCACTTACCAACATGACATGTTTTGATTTTTACAGAACCTGACTCTCCCTGAGGTTGGAAGTCGGCCCCTCTTCACCTCAGTCATCAGGAGTCTGAACAGCTCCTGTCAGGTACATCAACAGCAAATGCATTCATTTAGCAATTTAGGAAATAATGAGTACAATTGGGAAATTTATGGAAATAACTTCTATTTCCAAACTTATTCTGCTAATTATAAACAATTATATAATGTCCCAAACCAATCAAAGAAAATTTGCTGTAATTTTGCCAGAATATAGAACTTTCACACCGACTCCACGGATAGATATTTAGTTATTAATACTTATTGCTTCTAATATGAAGCATATACAGAAGCATTCACTGATACTTACCACTTTACATATTGTGTTCCCTGTGTGCTCTTACTCTTGTCCTGTATGTGCGCTGCAACACTGACATTTCCCCACTGTGGGATATATAAACCTTCTCTTATCTTATAATATTATCTACCACATGTTTCAATCAGGACACTGTACTCTGTATACTTGAAACACATCCACATTGATTGGTACTTTATGACATAGAACAAAGGACCTAGAACTCTTGGTGTGTACAACTGTCAAACCACAACAATCTAACTATGCAATAAAATCTGTCTGACAAGTTCTATACAAGTTCCTCAAAACAGTGACTTTGATGAATTGTTGGCCTTTGTCTCAAACAGACAAATGTTGTGAAATGAGAGGACCAGCCTCACTTAATCAGCTCTTAGCCCAAAGCCTCAAATACTGACAGGATGTATTCTAATTAGCTTGAAAAAAACAGCATGTTGTGGTCTGATTTGTATGCAACACTAAGACTCTGACCCTTTCCCTTCTGTCAAGACAAAAACTGAGGCCTCACTCTAACTTTCTATTCATTTGAGTGTTTGTTAAGTTATCTCTCTGTCTTTAGCTGCTAAAGGAAGACGTGATGCTGATGAATGCCACACTGGACGTGTACACGAGAGTCTTCAGCATCCTCCTAAAGACCCCCCTCAGCCCCAATAACCGGGACCTGGAGAAGCTCAATCATGCCATGTCCCGTCTCAAGAGTCAGATCAGTCACCAACAACAGAACAAGGAAGAGCTTCTCGCCAAAATCAGAGCTGTGAAGGTATAAGAACTTGATATACTTAATACTACTACGACGACTACTACTAATACTACTACAGCATTGGTTTTATATGGTACTTTTTTGGGCACTCAAAATCTTCACATGCTATAATCAAGTACCATTGCTTTTGGATAAAGAGCTCGCTCCCGTTCACACATAGAAATGAATTCACTCCTTACATGGTGGTGATAAACAACTATTGTAGCCACAACTGCCCTGGCGCAGACTAACAGGAGCAAGGCAACCATTATGTTACATCGACCCCTTCGATTATCATCAATCATTCATGCACACACTCATTCCAGGGAATGTGAGCGAAGTGTCTTGCCTAAAGACACAACAACAGTCACATAACACATAAATACTTTCATTCTAAAAAGCCTGAAATGTCATCTATTTCATGTGATGTATTTAAGACCCATTGTGAAAAGTAACAGTCATGACAAAAGTTAGAGATAAGAGCAAAAAAGCTAAATAAAATATACCATTATAGAACCTGAGCGGCTGCCTGTTGTGGCTGTAAAATGGTGGATAAATAACTGAGTGGTGTCTGTATTTGCAGGTGGAGGATGCGCTGGTGCAGAGGAAGGTCCTGGCTGAGTTTTTGGAGGTGTACCATGCCCTTTCAGGCCTCATCCATAACACATGTGTTCACTGATAGAACTATCTCATTGAATTCTCACGTATTTAACATTAATATATTTATTATCAACTGTGATGCATTTTGATATTTAATAATTTATTATTTGGTAATTTATTTAATATAATATTATTTATATGGGGATATTATTATTTAGGATTTTGGAATGTATTTAAATTAAATCTGTGAAATTAACACAAATGTTGTTGTTTGTATACCTGTCAAATAGATGACATCTGCTGTGGAAAGTTTTACATACACATTAAAACGGTTTGGAGAGGGGTTTACCAGCTTACATAATGAAAGTGGAAAGAGAAGAACTATGACATCAACGTGAATACAACTGCTTTGACCAATCAGACGATGTGATTTCCCCCGAGTGAAAAGGAGTCCCAGCTCTGCTAAGACGTGGCAGAAAACACACACACTGTGAAATAAAATCATATAAAATAACTACACACTAATATTTGATAGAAGGCCAAGAGAGAGTGGACATTGAACACAAAATGAAAAACTTAGCAATAAAAAGAAGTGACTTAATGATCTGAATTGTAGATTAGGAGCAGCGGTCACTGCAGTGTAGCACGAGGGGAGTATCTTCAGATGTTGATGCTCTTGGTCAGAACCAACTCAGAGGATTTTTCCTGCGGTGGGTGTTTTAGGAGATCAGTCGAATTGGCCCAGAGGAAACAGGGAGAAACATGCAAACTCCTCACAAAGGCTAGCACAGGATCAAATCCACAATCTGCTTGCTATGAAGCATGAGTGCTCCCACTCAACCATGGCATGTTATTCCTCATTTTACAGATTGTTTAAAGTTAGTGAGCCTACCAGACCATTTATTTAGATTTTTGCATTTATTTTGAAAAAACGCAATTCAGTCTTCATTTTTGCTCATGTTTGGTTCAACTCAAACATACAGTATATCCAAATCTATATTCAATACAAGTAATACTTTATAAAACCTCCACAAAAAGGTTTAAAAAAAGAAAAAAAAAGAAGTAAAAGCCATTAACAAACTCTGCAAAAGGCCAAGTGCTCTTGAGCTTTTCTTTCAACAGTTTTGTATTGTTTATGCACATTTTCTTGCCAGAGACAGTAGAGTCAGAATTGTCTGAACAGGCTTTATGGACAATTGAGAGTGACTAGGATTTGAGGGAGGGGCTTGTGAGGGATCAGCAAAGGTAACAAACCTCCACTCCAAAGGTGGAGGAGGAGGAGTTATTTTTGAGTTGGATGAGTTTCCTTTCTTTTCATGACTATCGACTGTAGATTCACACCAGGCTGTGTAAGGACTGTTTGACCAATAAGGAGGGTGGTGGGTGCTGGACCAGATGACCTGGCCTCCACAGTCACCGGACCTGAACCCAATCCAGATGGTTTTGGGGTGAGCTGGACCACAGAGTGAAGGCGAAAGGCCCAACAAGTGCTAAGCATCTCTGGGAACTCCTTCAAGACTGTTGGAGGACTATTTCAGGTTCCTCTTGAAGCTCATCAAAAGAGTGCCAAGAGTGTGTGAAGCAGTAATCAGAGCAAAAGGTGCTACTTTGAAGAACCGAGAATATAACACATATTTTCAATTGTTTCATACTTTTTTTTTCTAGTACGTACATAATTTCACATGAGTCAATTCATAGTTTTGATGCCTTCAGTGTGAATCTTTAATTTTCATAGTCATCAAAATAAAAAACTCTTTGAATGAGAAGGTTTTTGGTCTGTACTGTATGTAAAACATACATAATCTTTACACTTAACATTTATAGTTTATTAATAAACTCTTAGAAATGACACTGCCTGAAACTCAGGCGGGCTGACAAGAAATCTCCAAGTAGCAGAGAAAGACGCCTCGTCTTTGCGCAGCATCATGTCACACCTGCTGATATTTTCAGGGAAAGGAAAGTGTGTTTTACACACATTGAAACCTTAAGTAACTGAATGATAGGATTTACATGTTTATGACAGGCCTTTAGCCTTTTCATGTAGGAGAATATATAAATATATTATTAGTTATGTAGCCAGACCTGCTTTTCAAAATCTAATCACAAACAATGTTGTCAGTCTACCCGTGGACAGCTTGGAAGTTTGAACATACTTTGCAATGTAATGTTTGTATGAGTGTTAAAAAAGTGCTTCAACCAACTCAAAACTGCAGACTGGATGACTTTATCAAGTCATCCAGTCTGCAGTCTGAGGATTGTCATAAATGTGAACATGGGAATCCATGTTCACATTTATGACAAGCCTCAGTTTTTCATAAATGCAAGTGCTCATCTGGTCAAAAGACAATACAAGTGTTAATGGGGTGGGTTGTCAGACACCTTCACTACTTCTATGAAGATTGATGTTTGAAAGGAAACTGCCAACCACACTTTTCACACCTAGATCATGGGTGCTTCACAGGCTCTCTCTCCTCTGCTATAAAAAAAGGTTTCATGACGAGTCAAACATTTATTCTTTTGTAAAGTGTGAAGTTGTGTGTTGTGGTTCTGTGCACTGCTGTGATGGATGCCTCTGCCCGGCTGGTGCTGTGCATGTGTGTGTTGCTGTTTGTAACACAGGTCAGGAGCTCCTACATTCCCTCCAAGATGAACCGGACCATCAATACCATCCTGCTACAGCACTATGTAAGTACCCACACCAGAGACACCAGGAGCACAAACATAAGCTCACACAGAAAGAACCCATACATCCATCATCCATCCATTTTCTTCCACATTGTCCATTTCTGGGTTGGGAAGTTGCAATCAGAGACCCAACAGAACGCATAAATAATTGTGTGACAAATTCAATTAGAAGATATTGTTTTTGTTTCTGTAGAAAAATCAACGCATGGAAAGATATGATGGCAAACCAGTTTTCCCCAGGCCATTGTTTGGAAAAGTTCAAGAGGTAAATATAACGTTTATAATGTTTTTTGCTCTGGACTTTTGCTGAGGTTTTGTGGTTTTTCTGTGCATCAAAATGAAACTTCAGCGAGCATTTACCTATTCCATTTATTCATATTCTTTATTTCACAGAATCAAAACATTTTTGGAAACAGAACTTAACAAATGACATTTTCTTATGTTAAATAAGAATTCTTGTGTTAAATATCCCATAATGTAATGTAAGCCACTCGAGTATTTTATTAAGGCTTTTAGTTTTAAAGATTTCATTTATGACTATATTTGAATTTAAATGATGTTTTATCCCTTACAACAGACCACATGTAAAAATAGCTAATTTTACTCATAACTTTCCGTGTTTCTAGAGCCTGTTATTTGAAGATAGTCTGTTACGTTTGCTGTGAAGCCCACTCGAGAAACCACAGTTTTCCACTGCAAAATTGTATAGACGCATAGGTTAGGTGCACTAAAAACTGTTTACGCAAAGTTTAACCTCTAAATGTTAAAGTGTGGTGTGAAATGCATTTATGTTGTTTGCTTGAGTACTTGCAAAATCCTAGTTTAACAAACACCTGTCATCTCAATATCAATGTTGTATGTCTTTCTTCAGGTTAAAAAAGTGTTTGTGGGAGGCATTTTGGAAACCTATAACAGACTGTTGAACAAAGTACTGGAGCAGCTCCCAACCCCAGGCCCCAAAGTGGACTCCAGTGACACTATCAGAAATGACCTGAAGTATATACTTAAAATGGTCCAGGATCTGAGGGACAACCATTTCAAGGAGCAGGCGAAGCTTGTGGATGAACTTCAATCGCTACACAACATTCCGGTGCGTCCAAATCCAACATTTGTCTCAGGAATTGAAGAGATGTATGATTCTTTTGGTCAAATAATGATCAAGGAATTCAAGGCCCAATGCCACTTCAGTCAATTTGTCACCATATACTGAAATAAATTTAATTCAACGAACATTGTGCAGAGCAGTTCATATTCTTTAAGATGGGCAACAGATTTTAAACTGCAAACGGTGGAAGAACGCACTTTAGTTTGGCCCAGCATTAGCATGATTTTGGGCCTTTAGCATACTTTTAAATCAGCCTTTTAAGACAAAAAAAAATCAAGAAAAATATTTACAACCCTTTCTCAGCCAATCATCTCTCCACCTGATGCATTCACAGGGCTGCAATTTGCAATCGATAAAATCTATATAATAACAGTGCATTGTTTCTACACAATTTGGCTTTTCCCAAAATCTTTTGGTGACAGTAAGCAAAATGTATTATTTACGAATTTGAATTGAGTGGAATGTGCCAAAAATGAAATCATTGAGCACAGACATATTTGTTAAAACCTCATTTAAGATGTTGATATTTAGCATTTGTTGTTTTTCTTACTCCTAGACTGACAACAAAGTCATCCAGAGCAAGGCGTTGGGGGAGCTGCCATGGTTATATGAAGAGGCAAGTTCAATGGCTAATCACGGCAGAAAGACACGCCGCCGCCGCTTCAGCCAAACTAATGCTACAAAGAAGCTGTAGGCAAGAACTTCATCCAGAACCACCTGCCTAAAGATTGTTTTGTGAATTATTATGTGAATAATGACCCAGCCACAAGATCATGATGGTTCTAAATACAGAGTTGACTGATGAAACACATATTCACTGAGTAAATATGTCTTTCACTGTACTGCTGCTGATTTAAAACTCTGGAATGACCTGTGAATGTTTACAATGTGATATTAAGGGTGGGTGCCAGAAGTTGATTACAGTCCTCTAACACCCCTTTATTCGCAGGGAATTCTCCCACTGACATGTATAATTTATTTAAAAAGAATATTTATTACTTTCTGTAGTTTTATTTGTTAGAATTGATAAATTAATCTGTTTATTTATTATTTAATTCATGAGTAAAGAGGTATATCTTCTCGTGTGTGTATTTTAATGTATAATTTTACATATATTTTGTATCACATGGTTTTTTTCTAAAAAAATAATAAAAATTTGTCTTTTGTCACTCAAAATGTTTCTTTAAAGCGACCTGCTTATCAAGCCCGGACCCAAATATGAAAATAAAATGTTAGTGTAAATATAGTATACACATTTATTGTGTAACTTTCTCATCAGATTCTTTTTCAAGAATATTTAATTACTTTGCCTTAGATACAGTAATACATATCCAGTAAACTGACCTTAAATTCTAAGGCAATAGTATTTTAGATCCTCCTCTCTGCATAGGCCTATAGTGAGTAATACATGAATTATTATAAGTGGGTTACTACGCATATAATGCATGAAGTAAAGGACTCGTCAGTTACAGTCAAATCAAATGTGAAGTCAAATGGCTTGATTACGGCTCTTCCACTTGTTAATACACGCACAGAGTGTATGCCTGAAGAGACTTTCTGAGCAACATGCTTGGACTGAATACAAAAATTGAGAAAACCACTTTCTGCTGAACATCCAGGGGGAGGACATTGAGCTGGTGGACAGCTTCAAGTACCTGGGTTTTCACATTAACAATAAACTGGACTGGTCCCAACACCAACGCCCTATACAAGAAGGGCCAAAGTCGCCTCTTCCTTCTGAGGAGGCTGAGGTCCTTCGGAGTGAGCAGGCCTCTGCTCAGGATCTTTTATGACTCTGTGGTAGCCTCTGCCACACACTATGAAGCCATGGTCTGGGCACTGGGCAGCACAGAGCGGGACAGGAGCAGACTGAACAAGCTGGTCAGGAGGGCCAGCTCCGCTCTGGGCTGCTCCCTGGACTCTGTGGAGGAGGTCAGGACAGGAGTCCCTCACTTTGCTAGCCAAAGTCACCTCCATCATGTGGTTGTGAAAGCTGAAGCTCAGTCTGATGGGGCGTTCAGACTAGAATATGGGTTACTGCAACTTCAAAAGTCAATGGTGACGTCCGTACGCACATGCACGGACCAAGTGGGAGAGGCGGCGTTGCTGCGATCTAGCAATCAGACTGAAGATACTTGTAAACAGCCAAACAAGGAGCTAAACCCGGACTAAACCAGCATTGACAATGGGGGACACAGTGTTTGTGAACAAATACCTCCAGCCTGAGTTCTCATTCTCCAGTGACTGTAAACAAGTGCTGCTAACGTGTTCGCCGATGCGGAAGTACCGTTTATTAATAAAATAAACTTCACCTCCGTGAACACATACTGCGTTTGTGTGTGAGTGTGTATGTATGTGAGCGGCGCTAAGAGACAAAATTCGCCTCTTATTGTCAAATGTAAAACTTTTACACCTCTTTTATTATTTTCAAGATAGAGTTTATATAATTGTTATTTGATGCTAGAGTTAGAGTTTTTGTTTTATTTTAATTAGTGTAGCTATTGTTCACTTATCTTGTGCTGTGTGCTCCTCTTTCCTACTGTTCTAGAACTTGTGATGCAACACTGAAATTTCCCCACTGTGGGACGAATAACGGATCTCTCAATCTTAAATCTTAGAATCCACTCCACTCTTTTTTTATTTATGTAATTCTGTGCTTTGTGTCCTGGGACAGTGGGTCATGTGACATATTTTCAGTTTGTTTATTCACCAGCCCTTCTTAGTTCACATTTTCCTTAAATTGTACAATGAAAATGACAGCAACACTTTCAGGAATAGCAGCGTTTATTTGAAATGGTTCTTGATAATATATATAATACATTGGTTTTATATAATGCTTATTTTAAACAATTCTTTGCCGAAATGCGTGGAAGATAAAAGTTTCTCCCGACTTATATTACAGTGTTGGTTGGATCTGCAAATGTAGAGGCAGAGATAGTTCATAGAAGTGGCCTAAGCTTAAATCATGTATCAGTAAGTCAGTCTGTCTGGTAACACATTGATTTCATGTATTGGTGAGTAAGAACACAATGCATTCAGTTTTCTGCAACGTGTGAACAACCCACTGACTCCAGACCCCTCCCAACCGCAGCTGTGATGTCACATCCTGTCATCTTCTGGTAAACGCTTTACATCTTTTTTTAGAGTAAAAGGTTTTACGGCAGTCTAACTTCTCAGAAAGTACATGTCTGTTTCCAACGCTCAGGACAGTTCACAGAACAGCAGGCTACTTTGGAATTTGATTTAAAAAGTACAGGACACATTTAAATAATATTAAAAACTAACATTTATCCAAGTCAAAAGACAAAGGACAATATCCTCACATCAATATAAATCAGATTTGTGTAACAGGGCGACTTTCAGGGCAGTATGCTTGAATTTCGTGGCCTTTTTTCCTCTCGTGTTAAACTTTTGACACAAGATATTTGACATATCTTTATTAGGAGGAATAGCTCCTTGAGATGCATCATCTTGTTTTCCAGAGGGTCCTCAAAAGATCATTTGATGAATAAATGCATGCATGTAGTGAGGCATTATCAGTGTATACAAGTTAGTAAAGTAGCTGTTCTGAAAGGGTCACACATCTACTCAGGTTTCACATAGAGTCATCACGATGCAGACTGCAAGGAAACAAGGACTGAAACGATTAAAACTCGGGTAGCTACCTTTCAAACCACAAAAAAATGTAATAAAATCAAACCTGTGCGCAACTCTCAAGATTGAGTCCATCACCAGTTTCTGTCCACCAGCTCTCAGCTTCAAGTAGCTTACTGAGATCTTTCTTACAGGTATACTAAGATGAAGAACGCAATAATCAATGTTAGAACTTTCCTCTGGGTTCAGACACAACACTGTCCTGTCTTGTTTTTGAGGTAATCATTTCACATCTGCATTCTAGTTTCCAATAAAACAGACACATCCAAAACTACAAACACAATGAGTTGAACAATAAGGATTTTATTAATAAGATTTTTCACCACAGTAAAATTTAACAACTGCTCACTATAAAAGTGTCAACTTGTGTTCTGTACAGTCGATACAGTACAAACTACAAAGTAAAAACTGGCATTTACTCCCCCAAATAATACATTTGACTTGGACATTATATATGCACAACTAAAATTCACAATAAGAACTGGCAAGTGTCACAGAAATACAGCGCAGCAGCAACGTTTTTTCAAATTGACCCCCCCCCCCCAGACACACACACACACACACACACTAACACACCGGGGAAAAAAAACTCCTTAGTGATTAGGTGACACTAATAGGGCTGTCATGACTAGAGCTTGCATACCAAACTGTACTGCAGTGAGATTGCAAAGCCATTTGTTTTTGAATTGTTTATTTTAGAAGGATATACACATTGCTCTTTTCTAAAGGCAGATAGGTCTAAAGCATTCCATGTGTTTTAAAACAAGTCAAATCCATTCCTTTTTTGCGCAACTATGTGTGAAATAGTATTGTATACTATAGGAATGCACTTTGGTAGAGTCAACCAAATGCCCTTGCTGTAAAGTCATGATAAAAGTGCAGTGAAAAAGCGAACTGCAAGGTACATTAATGAAAATTAACATTTACATAACGTTAAAGTCAATCAGCAGCTACTAGTTTGACTGGACAGGACAGACATCAGTGCAGCAGCTAGCGCCTCAACGCCAGTGGTCAGTTGGCTAGTGTTAGCGAAGCCCCGTCGTCATGTAAATCCACCTCCAGGAGGGAGAAGCGGCGACTTGGCTGATATGTTGTCTATACATTGTGCAGCCATGTGACACAACCTTGCTCAGCACACTACATAAGGAGGCCGTCAACTACTCTGTATTGCTAAAAGTGGAAACTACAATTACTATGTAGTTTCCACTTTTAGCTTTGTAAACATTGTGGTAGTGTGATGGCCTTAGTGAAAAATAATTGTTTTTTCATTTAAGATTTGCAACATAATTCAGAATAGAATAAAAGACAAATTAAAATTACTAGAATATCTGCATTGCTAACCTTATTTTTTTCGTTATGGCAATTCTCACTTCCAGATTTAGGGTGTTTCGGTCCAACCACATGTTGGATGAGATGTTAGTTATTGCCTTTTAATGCTGGATAGTAATTGTGTCAAACAAGTGTTTAAAATAGCTTGTGTGTTAGAGAAGGTCAAGTGTACCATGGCGACAAGATACTGAAGGCACAATTTTACAACTCAGCACTCAGACTCCCTAAGAATATAAAAGTAAAAAAAAAAAAAAAAAAACTTCCTTTGAAAATATAAAATCAAAAAGTCCTCCAGAACAGGGCGGAGCTTCCCCTGAGTCGGTGGAGCAGGTAGTGTTGGTGCATCTTCGGTGTCATCAGTCTGACTGCTACTACTGTAGATCACTGAGGACACTTATCTCTTCATTGAGGCCAAAGTGTGAGAGATAGCTTTGTGTAGTAGCATGTGTGGCCACACACATTCAAGTAAATACTATGAACTGCAGATCATAGTAAATGTGTAAATTCGATTAATAAATATTAAAAGTTGCAAATAAATATAATTATGATCCCTCACCAGATCATTGTTATTCATGATTGCTTTGTTTATTCTACTGATCTACTGATGACATTTCATAGTTAACAGTTCAGCTAAAAAAGCAGGATCTCATTAACAGTAAGACTTTTGATGATAATTTTGCAGTAGAAAAATGAAGCAATGATTTCTCGATCAAGATCATGGGGAAATTAGGCATCTGCTTTGTGCAGAAATCTTGATAAAGTGCCAACACAGTCCAATGTGTCTTTGAATGAACACAGTTAAAAGTCTTTCTATGCGTATGGCTGTGGATACCTTACTACAGTTCCATAAAGCGATATGGAATTAACTTCTGTTATGCTTCTTTCCAGCGTCACCATTAGGTTTGTGGGCATGTCCTTACAGCTACACTGCCATTGTTTCACATGCACAAATGGTGTTGTTACTTTCATATACATGAATATAAAAATCTCAATCAGTAGTTTTTGATCCATATGAAAAATGCCTTCATTTACTCGAAAATGATATGGATTTGGATTTATTCTCTAAGTCTAGATAGTAACCAAATATATTATGCATTTATGTAGCATTGAGATTTCTTCTTCGAGTCTTCTTAGGTAAGACTTAGTGGCACACCATGCTTTGGTTGCCAAGAGGCTAACAGTCAGCTATAGCTTGCTCAAATGTACAGTATGCACCAAGGACATGAAAAGGCTACTCTCTGGGCACTGCGTGGAACTATGTAATAGTGAGCTGACAGGCGCAAAGCAATCATTGTGTTATGGCTACTAGTGTACTGATACTTCATTATATAATAGGAAACCAAAGATAAAAAAATAATGGATCATTCTAAGCCTTAAAAAAGGATTGGATGGCAGCAGTGAGGTCTTAATGCAAACCAATATTTATGCTCAGTTGCTAAATTTGTATGCCTATGCACAAATGTTCAGAGGCAATCAAACGTCTTTTTTCAGTTCATACTGTGCTCTTTTAGGCGATACCTGATAAAGGGTAAAAAGGCCCGCTTATTGGTTTCCAATTATAATCAATTGATAGAACTAAAAAACTAAAAAACTAAAAACATCTAAAACTATAAGCACCATGTTGTTGGTGACCTTCAGTTACCAAGTGGTGAGCTGATTGTCAGAGCAGCTGCACACGTGAAATATAAATGTTGCTGCTCATCTTCATCACACCTGACTCAAAATGTTGGTAGTCTGTATGGACCCCATGGTTTCAGGAATACATCGATTCCTAGAAAAAAATCAGTTAAGGTACGGTATCTAAGAATGCACCCCATTGCTGCCCATCCTAAAATGCACTGACCAGATTTATTTCTCAACCCATAAAAGTATTCTCCACCACAGCAAGAGGGGTGCAATCATTCTCAGCTAACCAGCTTAGGCAAAACTGTCCTTGTTTGGATGTTTCCATTGGCATCTGTAATGGCTGCCAGGTTAGTTCTGGTTTTGGAGGACGTTGTGGTGGGCTTAGAGATGGAGGTGACGCCTCCGTCAGTGGTCGTCCTTTTGGAAGATGAGGTTTTATCCACAATGGTAGTGCCCCCTGTTGGGGGCTTGGGGAGCCGTCGCCTCAACCATGGGTGGCGAAGTGCTTGGCTAGGTGTCATCCTGAGGGATGGGTCCCACTCCAAACACTGTTTCAGGAAGTCTAGAAATAGTTGATCATCACAGCCCTTTAATGCTACACTCCAGTCTTTACCAGAGGGAGGGGCACGCACTTTACCCCTGCGTGAGCGCCCACCATTAAGCACAGCTGTACCGTCAGGCAATGTTGTGACAGTGCAGTACCGAGGGTATCCTTTAGACGAAACAAAGTTCTTGGCTCTTTTCGAGGCATCAAGAAGTTTTTGACTAGGCATACCCAGGAGTTCAATGATGCAGGCCAGTTGGTCAGCTTCATCCTCACCCGGCAGCAAAGGATAACCGGTCAGGAGCTCAGCCAGGATGCAACCCAGTGACCACATGTCGATCGGCATTCCATACCTTGAACCTGCAGATTAACATTCAAAACAAATTATTCACATTGTGGGAAATTCATAGTTGAACACAAGAATATACAAATACATGGTATGTTATTTCAGTGGTCCCCAACCCACCGGGCATTTATAAAAGTTGGAGATCGCTGTGTTATATCAATGATTTTCATTACAGTGTATTGTGAGGTGGATTAATATTTTAGTGATAACTGACTCAAGTTATATAATATATATATATATATATATATATATTATCTCCACTCAGACACAGGAGAAACCCAGGTCAGAACCCATGGCCTTCTTGGTGTGAGGCATTAGCTCTACCCACTAATGTTACCATGACTGGGTGAAATGGCAGAATGCAAAGGAGGATCAGAGATGAGATATGACTGGTACATGATTATGGCATTATGTGTAATTGAGGAACACACCCCCACATCCTTGCTAGTCTGGGTGTCAGTTTCACTTCATTCTTACGTCATACGTCATAATTTTAAAAGTACTATAAACTCCTGAATGTGCTCCCTGGTGGCCATGTCAGGTTCTGTCATGCTAGAGTTCACACTAGATCCTCAAGATCTGTTTACAGTTAAAAATGTTTCCATCGTGTCCCCGGGGATACTATTTTTGAACTGTGCACTGGGTAAACTCCCTGGTCAAAAATTCGGTGACTGAGCGATCCATTTCTCGGTAAAATATTTATTATTTTGAGAACAATACATTTCATAAGACTGGGCACAGTGAGTGATGAAATTCAAAGGACCAAAGCTGGGGCCTGAACACATGTGATTTTGTGAAAACCGATGGGATTAAAAAATAACAATAAAAGAAAAACACGTTGTCAATTAAGATAAAAATCTGAAAGCTGTAGACTTCATGTACATTTCTCATGTAGTGATCACAGGTAGCCTTCACTGCTATCTGGCGGAATACCCCATTATATCCATACTAGACTAAATCAGTCATTTGTGATCAATGTTTCATGATTGTACTTGTAACCCTAACCCATAATGTCAAAGCAGGTTTTCATAGAATATGAATGAGCCCAATTTGAACATATTTGCCCTCTCCTTATACATGACGCATGTCGTCACATTTTCTCATCATGGGTAAATTATCAACTAGTTGGAAGTATTGTAACTTATCCCCAAATAATAATGTAAAAATAACTCCGTTTTTTATTTATTTAAGTAGACCCAAATGTTCACCCATCAGCAGTGTTGGGCGTAACGCGTTACACAAGCAAAATTACTTTTTTTCCGTGGAAAAGGAAAGTCATTAACTATTGACAATATCGTAACGTATTGCCATTTCTTTTTTGATCTGCTGCAACATTACTTTTTATTTACCACGGACAGCTGTGACCACTCAACTGCTGGTGCTTTTAAATCAGTCACGACTTGCACACAATAACTTCATTACACACGTGACACATGGTACGTGAAGCAAGAGGCTGTGGCGGCGCTGCTAATCGTGGAGTGTCGCACTTTACCCGAAACTACGCAGGTAAAGTGAGACACATCAGCAACAGTGAGGCTGACTTTTTTTCTTTTGATGAGGAGGAAGACGCAGCGCACTCGAGTATCCGAGATGAGGCTCAGAGTTAGATCCTAAAGAGATTCCCTCGAGTGAGAGCTGTGTTCATGAAATACAACAACCATGTTTCATGCTCTGTGGCATTTTTGATCATAAAGAGCATGCGAGAAATATCTGTTGTGATCTTCACAGTAGAACTTCCACGACACATTAAAGTACAGTTCTGCTCAGAGTCGAGCATAATAACAGTAACACAAAAGGTAACGCAAAAGTAAAGCAAAGAAGTTACTTTATTTATAGAGTAACTAAGAAAATAAACAGGTTATTTTTTTAAAGAAGTAACTAGTAACAAGAAAAGTTACTTTGGAAAAGTAACTTCCCCAACACTGCCCATCAGGGGCTGCAGTCAGTATCTGGATACTTCCAGATGTGGAGCTCTGCTTTGTCAGGACCTTTGCTGTAGGATTTCACCTCAGGTGCATGTTTTGGGTGTTGGGGGGAAAGCACGGGTTTAGACACAGAGAAACATGCAAACTCCTCACAAAAAAACACTATCCTCTCACTCACTGTGTCACAACTTTTCTGAAGTGCATTTTCAGTGAAATGCTTAAACCTTATGAAGAAGGATTAACAAAAACAAAAAACTTACCTAGAATAACCTCTGGTGCTCTGTAGAAGCGGGACTGAATATAGGTGTAAACTCTCTGATGTTCATAACAACTGGATCCAAAATCTATCACCTGTAAAGTACAAATGATTAATATGGATTAGAAATTCATTTGGGTGTAGCTGCATGTCAATAGAATCTATAGTCAGTGCTGATACCTTGATTCCACTTCGTCCTTGCTGTTTGAGAAGTATGTTCTCAGGCTTTAGATCACAGTGGATGATGCGGTTCTTGTGCAGAGCATCCAAACATTGCAGGATGGAGTGGGCAAACTTCCTGACCAGTGGAAGGCTAAATCCTTGGAACTTATTCTTCTTTATCAGTTCATAAAGGTTCATGCTAAGCAGTTCAAATGTCATACAAATGTGATTTCTGAAAGTGAAATTCTCCAGCATATGAATCACATTCATTGCAGAATCTTTATCCTGCTTTCTCAGGTGCTCCAAGATGCGGATTTCTTCGGCAGCCTGCCGATGAAAACGCTTTTCGTTGCGCACCATCTTTAAGGCCACGTGGGTCTGCGTTTTGTGATCAAAGGCTTTTACCACCTGTAAAAAGAGCACATGGCAATCTTTACCATTCTGTAAACATATAGTGGAAACAGAGGGATACATACACTGTCAAGCTTAACATCTGACTCTGTAATATGCACTATCAATTATTCAGAAGAAATAACTTAATATTGTAACATTTAATTTGGTAATATTAAATGCAAAAAAACGCTTAAACAAAGTCAGACCAATGCAATGATTAAATTGCAATTTGATTGATTAAAAAAGAAAATCTTACTTGTAGTAAGAATTAAATCCATGTCCTAATCAGAAACTTTTTATACATTTTCCTGAAAAAAGTATCCCAAAGAATAATCATTAATGATTGTAGATGTATTGATTGCTCCTTGAATTTTCTCATTTAGGATCGATTTGTTTCACATAAAGAAATGCAATCTGCTCCTTTACTTATGGTAATTTGTCCTTTATCTATCATTCGAACTGACATAAAAAGTAATTGTATTTTAAATAGGTCTGGTTCCCACTGTATATATAGTGTAGTGTATGAGGTATAGATACATTACCTGTCCAAAGCTTCCTTTTCCAATAACTTTCAAAACCTCATAACGATAAGAAACTTGGTCATGGGGAACTTGAATGTATGACCCCTGATCGTCATCGTATCCGCCGTTGTTGGTGCCTCCCATTACTCCGGATCTTTTCTTGGCATTTGGGCCAACAAAAAACACTAAGAAAAAAAAGTTCACAACTGTTTATGACAACTAAATAGAGAAGTCGAAATCCAAAATGTTTTTACTCACCTTCAGGGTAGCTGAAAATCTCATGGTGTTCAAACGATGACATTTTGGACATAAACTGCTTCATAGCCTGGTCTGGGGTCATGGACATGGATTTGAGCTTGCAGTCGTTCGATTTGTTCGATGTACCACTGCCAAGGCGATAGTGGAGGGGGTCAGAGCTGGAGGTTTGCCTCTCAGAGGAAGACAGACCTGGCCGAGTGGAGCCGACAGGTGCCAGTCCATTGGGTTGTGAGGTTAGAACGGGGCGCTTATTGGAGTTCTCCTCATACAGCTGATGATGTGACGGTGGAGAGAGCTGCACTGTGTCGGACATGCTGGCTTTAGAACCCCCCTGGAAATAGATACGAGAGATCACAAGAGATCTAGATTGTGTGTGGAAATATAGTAAAGAAAAAAAATAGTAAAGGTTGCCAAAGGGCTGCAAGATTAATTAACACTGATAGGCGCATGATTTGAATCACAATCTTACTTGGTCTCAACTGTCAAAATGAATCTTAAAAAGTTTCAAAATAAGCAAACAAAAAGCTATGGATTTTTTCCCCCTCCCCAGGTTTTACAGGTAAAGAATTTTAAGAGTTAAGTGTTTATGCAACTGAAGAGAGCAGAATTGTGCTAAATTATTTAGCACATCTTTTATCATTATTCCACTAAATTATATCATAAGCAGTACTCATCTGCGTCACCTGTATATTAGAGTTTAATCCTGGGACACGGGATTCCCGGGAAATCTGATCAAAACAATTTCCCGTTTCCCGGGAAATGAACGTTGAAAAAAAATTCAGTGCGTTCCTTTTATAGTGCGCGTTTATTGTTGTTCAAAATTCAAACATATTTTCTTTCCAATCTACATGTCTACAGCTGAGAGGATGGCTCATAAATTGTGTTTTTGAAACAAATATGGGTCTTAATCGCGCTAAACCATGGCTTGTAATATCACCAATTGAGGCCAGCCTCAGGGTACGGGGCACATGTGAGCCCAGAATTTGGCTACATCCAATTCTATCAGAAAGCTCTTTTCTTTTTTTCATCTGCTAAGAGCAGCAACAGGTTTTGCTAACATACAGATAACACATTTTAAGATAATTTAAAAGGCATTTAGGGTAATGTTATGCTTCTAATGACGATATGAATGATAAGGAAGATAGGTGAAGAGTAAGAAGGTTGATATTAGAAATTGCATGCACCCGAGAGCCGGCTGCAACTAGCAAAACACAGGAGTTTATGGAGGAGGCACCCGTTTTGTTTTACTTTTTAAAACTCTTTGGACTTTTTTCCAAATGGAGGATTACATATCTACGCTCAAACTATTATCTGGACTTAAACTTGTCTGAACTGAAGTGGTCTGTGCAGTTCATTAATAACTAAGGTAAGGCACTCGGAAATGTGCTTTTTACAAACTTTTGCGTTTTGTATGGAACATATTCTGCTGTAGCCAAACTAATTGTGAATAAGCCGCTCTGTAGGTCCTGTTGATTTATATGATATATATATATGTTCATCTGATTGGGCTGAAGTCAGTGCCTCCAAACCACACGCACGTCACCGGTCAATAAGTGGATTGCGCAGACATTTAGAATCTCAGCATAGTGAAATTCCTGAAGAGAGCCATTCAACAAAACGTCTGAAAACGCTATGGCTACTTTAGAAAAGCTAGCAAGTCGCTTGGTGAAACACTGGTGGAGATGGCAGCTTTTGATTAATTAAATATTTGAGTGATATCATACATTACTTGGGCTAAAAACAAAAACTACAAACAGCTATATCCCGGGAAGAATATTAAACCCTATTGTATATGATAGACATGTTTATCCATAACATTTTTTTCCTAGTTCTATGGTGGTAGCAGTAGTAGTATCAAATTTGTGATGATCCCTTATGATTTAATGCATTCAACAAGCTGCAGCTCTAACAAACTCAACTATAGGTACATGGCAACAGAGTAAGGGCATTAGCAAATAACAGACAAATGTAGTCTATTATTTTGCATAGAATAACGTCAATCTTTGTGTGTAAATCATGCGTATAATATATTGTTTCGAAGCGACTCGCAAGAAAAGATGATTTTTGCTGCAAGTTTGAAATCCGCAAATAATTACAGATCTAATTATTGGTCAAATAATTGATCACATTTCAGGCAGACAATGACAAAAAAAGGTTGTGTTGTGCCATACCGTCAGAGGGTTGAGGTTGCTGCTACGTAGAGGAGGCAGGGTGCCGGGAGGAGATGTGGAGTAGTTCGGCTCGCCCGCTTTGCCTGACACACATAAAAGGTTTATTAATGATATATAACTGTAGATCAATGGGTCTTACCATTTGTCAAACAATGGACAGTAAGTAAAAGAAATTCTGAAACACCACCAACTCCACTCAAGCAGAGTAAACATAGTATGGGTATCAATTGTCGCATTTTTCACTTTCTACTGCATTTTAGCAAAACACCACAATTGTCCATTAATGATTTTAAATTATGGCCAACCCTACAGCTGCATGGTCTTGGAAAATAGTGTGGTTCCAATCCAATATGTTGAACTATTTATATCTTTTCAAAGAGGTAGGGTTAGAGGAAGGCATCATTATTCTAGAATATTGGGATGGTAAAATATCAAACTGTTACATACCAAAAACAACTTAATGCTAATTTTGATGTAACATCTTTGTAAAGACGCTCACTCAATAGTTTATATGGAACACAAATGACTTAATCACAAATTAAAAATGTCCAGTTATTCCCTTGTGTTTCCCATTACACAGGGTGTTTCACTGGATCACATGTGCTCTTCGCTTAGTTTGAAAATTTTTGAAGTGGCTTGTGTGAAAAGAGGGCGGGGCTTAATCACTTGCCACGTCTTTTGCCGCTTCTCTCCCTGGGTCACTTTTCTGTCAGATTTAGGCAGGAACCCAGAAGTTCTCACGAAAAACACTTATAATTATGATTACGATTCAGACAGACAGACACTCGCGCTTATTATTTTTCTTGCTATTATTGCTTTAAGTAGTTGATATATTATGCAAACAACTTAATGGAAAACTAATTATGGTAATAATTAAAACAAATTATGGTAATAATTAAAACAAAGAAGTTTCATAGTTTATTATGGCTGGCATAGACAGATGGCCATCTCCTTAATCCGAATTTGTTGTAATCCTGCTTTCAACAAATATGCAAGCACAGAGTGAATTAGCCATGTGAACAAACATTACCATAGTTTGCAAAGACAAATTCAGGATCAATATTAATCAACAGTTTCTTAATTTTAACAATTAAATCAGTTATTTCACACACATAAACAGCGCTGTTCACATACGGTCATTTCCAACTTGGTGCCTTTCACTTCTTACAAGGCGGTGGCAATCCACAATTGTGGCCACAGCTGCTGGTTTGAGCCACCGGTCCCCTCAACCACCACAGCTGCAAAAATTGTGCAGTTCCAATTAATATTAACAGGAGCGCATCTTTGTTCCGTAAAAATATTTTATTTTTGTCATGTCTTAATGAAAATGCATTAGCACTTCCCTTTGAGAAGTACTGCTGATTGAATGAACAATTAATACTGCAAGTAAAAATACTATTTCTGTTCAGGATAAGTACAACAAACCTGGAGCAACATTTCCAAGTTTATGCACATTTTTATAAATTAGTTTAAATTAGAGCAGAGGTAGAGCTTTAGTTATGCTGAACGGGTGGGACAGCAAAAAGCAGAGCACGAACTTGACACCAAGCTGGAAATGCCAGGGTGCCAGTGAGCGCACATGGTATGCTGCTCAACAGGACAAGTGGGAAAAAGTGTCTCACCGTGATCACACGTGCTGCGTGATGACTTATAACAGTGGTTCCCAACCATTTTTGCACTGTGCATTCTAGAGCTGCAACTAACGATTATTTTGTAATCGATTAATCTATCGATTATTTTTACGATTAATCGAGTAATCGCTTGGCTGTGAATTGTGATGAAAACATTTATTTTTTCATCGTATTGATGGCGTAAACTTAAAGTAAATGTTTGTAACAGGCTCTTTGTGCTAATTCTGCTATCTGATTGGATGAGACAAACAGATATTCAAGAAATTATAAAAACAGTTTTAATCAAAAATACTACATTTTCATGTCATTTTTGCTCTGTTTGAGTCCGTGTGAACCAGAAAACGATTAATCGATTACTAAAATAGTTGTCGACTATTTCAATAATCGATTAGTCGTCAATTAATCAATTAGTTGTTTCAGCCCTAGTGCATTCTCAAATCAGTTTGGTCATGGCATGATAAGAACAGGTATGCATTCTTTATGGTATGTTCGTTTACACAATAGCTTAAAGCTATTTATTTATGGTTTTTGAATTATGTATATATTGAAACAGAATATTACTATTGATTAAACTTGTTTTGAACAAAATAAGTACATGCACGGGCTGAATCAAAACTGGACAAAAGTAAGGAAAGCTTATCATTTCAGACTGATTACTACCGATTGTACTTACTTCATGTACATTGGATTAAATTCTTAGAATAAAAACTAAGACATTGATAAAATTATGCATAACATGCCATAGTAGCTGGAATGATATAGCCAATAACCATTTAAAATCATATGGGGGGGGGGGTACTAATGACAATGTTTTAACAAACACGCACAAGTCTAGACAGTAGACAGTAAATAAGCCTACTGATAAAAGTGAAACACATTTTATTCTTTTTATGAATTATTACTTAATTTACATTTGAAATTTGAAATAGCAGAATCCCAGTACACCAGCTAACGATTATCTTCAGAATAGAGCTGCAACTAACGATTATTTTGTAATCGATTAATCTATCGATTATTTTTACAATTAATCGAGTAATCGCTTGGCTGTGAATTGTGATGAAAAAATAAATTTTTGGCAACACTCGTAAACTTAAAGTAAATGTTTGTAACAGGCTCTTTGTGCTAATTCTGCTATCTGATTGGATGAGACAGACAGATATTCATGAAATTATAAAAACTTGGTTTTAATCAAAAATACTAAATTTTCATGTCATTTTTGCTCTGTTTGAGTCCGTGTGAACCAGAAAACAATTAATCGATTACTAAAATAGTTGTCGACTATTTCAATAATCAATTAGTCGTCGATTAATCGATTAGTTGTTTCAGCCCTGCTTCAGAATAGTGCTGGTACTCGGCAGAGACATTTCTGGTAGAATACATGCTGGAATTAGTTCTCTGCAGTTGATTTCACACATCTAGGGCAATGGGATTGTAATTAAAGCTTTATTGTAATCGGTTAATCCAATTGATTGCACAAAGAAGACAATACTAAACATGTAGCTTTTCCAACTAGGGATGTCATGATCCAATATGGATATCATCGACCCAGAGGAGACAGTCTCACGCACCTATAGAGTAAAACCCTTCAGTCTCTAGCTTTAGTTACAGAGCGATCTTTCATTCTTGAGAGGCAACAAAACGCCTGGGTCCACATCTATGAGTGCATCTACCACATGGAGCTATATTGTTTTTCTGCTATGCTCTGTGACTAAAAGTGTAAGCATTATGACAACTTGGAGAAAATGTGTTTTTGGGTGTAAATATGTGACAACACTATTTGGCCCGAAGACAAAGAATACGAAGCACTTTCCCTTTGCATCAGCAGTGAATACAAACAAGGGGTTACATTTGACTGAAGAATTAGATACATATTTGAGTGTGTTCACAGTAAAGTGACAATTGAAGTATCTGGACTTTAAAAGGTTATAACTTAAAAACTAAAATTAGTTTCATAGATTGGAAACAAGATTTCAAACACAGACACATTGAAGAGATAGTGTGGAAAAAATCAAAAGGAAAGGTTGTCATAAAAATGTTTAGCAACATTTTAAACGACCAAATCAGCCTCTGATTGGACCATTCTACTGTGACGCCAGTTACATAGAAAATAAAATGTCCTCAGTCTGAAAAAGCAGAAGATGAAATCCCACAATATTTACATGGTTAACACAACATAAGTAAATCACTTGATTATAAAAAGGAATTGTGAAAAAATAAAAATTAATTAATTAATGAAATGACCCCTGAAAAATGTATAACGGACGTGATGAGGACGGTCCTCTTTTCTCTAAAAATTAAACTTGAGAAAAAAAAAAATCTGGTCTGTTTTCACATTTAATTGGTTGACAATATGAAAGTATCACTTTGCATCTACTTTGTGTAAAAAATAGAATCTCTGAATCAAATGTGGACATCTGAAAATACCTATCAAACTTCCACAAAGCTCATTCCGTCAAATCATCACGTCCGTTACATAAAATAAACAGGGCCACTATAGGAAGCTTGTCTAATGTATAAAACAGTTATGTTCTAGCAACTTCTAATGGACAGAGGAGGTGCTTGGAAACACAAAAAAACATAAAATATCTGATTATTAAAATCTAATTTTTGGCCTTTTGTCACACTTTTGTGCCCTTTAGTGTGAACAAGCCCATTTCAACAATGAAATCAGAACCTTAAACTCTAGTTTGCCATTTTTGCAACATTAAGTTGTATTTTTGTCATAAAAATGTGTAGAATTTATACAAATGTTTAAAGGTTCTTTTAGCCATGTAACGCATTGCAATGAATCATCAATCGAATTCTGGGCTTGTGTTAGTCAACCAAGTATAATTTTACTACAGCCAGAGGAGTAAACAGTTTAAATTTTATTTTAATAAAGACTTTTTAATGTGTAATCAATAAAGTGAAATTCTTCAGCATATGCATCACATTCATCATAGAGAAGACACATATGAATATATTTAATTTTGGGATGTAATTAACCATTGTCTTGATAGTTAATTGGTTGAGTAGACTCCTATTAAAATCCCAAGTGTTTATGGTTAGAATAAAAAAGATTAAAGAAATACTAAATGCTAAACTAAAAACTATTTATATTTGATTAGTTATAATGAAATACTCTTATTTATGTGGCTGTTTTCAAATGCGTGCCCGTGCAATGAGAAAAAAACACAAGCTAGGGGTTCTTTCTACAATCACAGCCAGTCTACACAATTTCACTTTGGTCAAACCCTACTGGAAACTTTAGTCCTTAATATATATTTTTTTGACACGGTTGATTATTGGAAAAGTGGGCAATTGATCCAAACTCAAGCAAAACACACAAAATCGCATCATAGGGCAACATTTGAGATGCTAAATAAAAAAGCATCTCAATTAGGGCTCAATTGATTATTGAAAAAGTGGTCAACTAATTCTAGCAATCGATTCAACACAGACAAGCAAGAAGGAGCTGTAAAACTCCCAAAAGAGCTATAATTATAACTAGGGCTGTCCAAAATAGCGCGTTATTAACGCGTTAACGCAAATCAATATTAACGCCGTCATTTTTTTTATCGCGCGATGTTTTTTTTTACTTTTTATTGCAGACAAACACATAGAAACAAAGAAAAGGACTAGTTCAGATACATTGTAGACAGAGATTACAAACAATATGTAGTTGGAGATACAGGGGGCCAAAGAAGAAACCCAGAAGGGCACATAGGAGGGGAGGGACATGAAGTGGGAGATGGGGGGAGGGGTTAATAAAAAAGGCAATACAAGCAAACAGTATACAGTCATAGATATACCGAAGGTAAACAGAGAAACAGCATAGAGTATTTACATGAACAAATTTACAAAATATTTACAGATTGTTTATCATCATCATAATGACACCATGATGTTTCTATACAGTCTATGGTCTATACCCACACATACACACACACACCCACACACACACATTGAAGGGGCTTTTTGTTACCAATTATTTATTTTGTCATCCATTTATTGATGATTTTGCATCAAATGTTAGTGTGTAATATAACACTACACATTGTTTTCAATAAAAAAAGCAATTGCACACAGCACGCAAATGTGTGACTAATTTGCGATTAATCGCGAGTTAACTATGAAATTCATGCGATTAATCGCGATTAAATATTTTAATCGTTGGACAGCACTAATTATAACAGAATAAAATTAAATGCATAAACATGATAAACAAATGACCAATGTTGTAATAAATGAGAAGACGTTCTGAGTCGCATCATTTACACTTTGTTGTTGCCAAATGTATCTAAATATCCCATTTTCAAAAAGACCATAATGATCCTAACTAATCGATTAATCAAATGTCTACTTTGTCAAATAATCGATTATCCAAATAATCGTTAATCAATGCCCCTATCTCAATAGGGGCATTGATTAACGATAGACTTTCCTGGTTCCTGGTAGTAATGGCCTACTCCGACCCTTTAAACAAAAAACATTAAAATGCAAAATAAAATACAACAAATAAAGCTGGAGGATGCTTGATGCTTCAATGTGCCTTGCTTACTATGTTTTGGATTGGCTATCAGATGACCACCAGGCCATCTGTAGATAATGGGCCTAATATAGCACTAAAATGAGTAGACAAAGGAAAGCCACAGCATAAGACACGATAAAGAAGAAGCAGCAGAAGATAAAGAACCTAAACAGAGCTGATCCAAGGCTTTAATTCTGCCTGATGAGTTGGAGGCCAGGAATTGCCCAGCAACCTGAAAGCATAACAACAACTGCACTGCACTCCATACAAGGAGTGCAGAGAGTATTTCCATTTGAATGTTCAGCTAACAGGTAGGATTCTGTCCAAAGTGCACATTGTAAACAAACTCCCATGATCATAAACATAAGAGAAGCATCGAACTCTTCACATGTTTACAGAGGTCTAAACTACAAGAACATGTATTTCTAGTCAACTTCAGATGCTATTGCTACACGTTTGTGCAGCTGCACGTAAGCCAATTTCATTTCATTGACGAGACAAACATGCCTGACAGAGATTAGCTACGACAAGCGCAGAAATAGACGGCTGAACTCAAGTCTAAGGAGCTGTTGTCACTAATCATCAATGTAGGGTTAGCTGGCTAAAAATAAACCCCACAGCCGCAGAAGCCAGAGAACACAAGTACTCCAGCTCGGAATCGTGTGATAATAATGCACGCATTTTCCCTATTAAAAACACCACACTCTTTTCTGCATGCATTTAAAAGTGCAATTTGTGTGTAGTTTATATTCAAATCTTGACCAAATAGCTAGCATTAGCATTGCTACCAGCCCTAGCCAGCTTTCAGTCGATTTTTAGACAGGATATTCATAACTCTGTGAGATTCAAGCATAGCCAGCAGGAAATGACAACGAGTGATATGTTTCTAAGTCACTGCCACGACTCAGGAGGCCAGTGATCGGCCACACAGGCTCAGCTCACCCGTGTGGAGGACCGAGGCTCCGGGCTTCTTGGTTAACATGGCGGCCGCTCCTCTCCTCTGGACAGCGGAGACCAGACACCGCCTCTTCCTCCACACTCAGCCCGTCCTCTTCCTCCCTCAGTACCATCTCTAGTGTACGGGAACGTCACTGTTCCTGGTCAAAAAAAAGGAAAAAGTATTTTCCTATTTATTCCAAAGAGATTTATGGATGAGAGAAACGCACTGATAAAGGAAGCGGCCTGACGTCAGCAGCAAAACAAACAAAAAAGATACAATTGGGAAATTAAGGTGAAAAGCAGACGACATTATTACTGTAGCTCATAGGTAATAATTTACATTATGAATAATTTTGTGTGCTGTTAAACCACAACAGATATCACAAGTTCTGTAACTCTCACATTGCGTCCCCTTGTGGAACAGTACTGTTGAGCACTCTCGCTTCTTAACAAGAAGGTCATGGGTTCAGATCACAGTCGGAACAGGGAGTGGAGTTTGCATGTTCTCCCCGTGTCTGCATAGGTTTCCCCTACCACTAAAACATGTACTGTCTGGTATGCACCTTCTGTACCGGCGACTCCCGCTCTCTGTGTGGAGTGGGAGACAAATGCCCCAAAACAACCTGGTCTTTTTAAAAAAACAATTATTACCCATACTAATGACTGTTGGCAGCAACTTCATAAAAGCAAGGCAATATCCCCCTTTTTGTCAAGAACAGCATCAGTGTGGCACAATCCACTTTTAAAGATAGGAGAAAGAACTTTTTTCTGGAATCACTGGTATCTCAAAGGATTTTCCCCCCTATATTATATATATATACATTTTTATATATATATATATATATATATATATATATATATATATATATATATATATATATATATATATATATATATATATATATATATATATATATATATATATATATATATATATATATATATATATATATTATACACACGCATATACATATACATACATATATATTTTATATATAATATATATATTGATGCATATCTCAGAAATGCAGCTCACGTCGTCTATATTTTCAGTGATTTCATGTACTACTAACACTTTGTATTAGTGTTGTTTGAGGTTTCTGCACATAGGTTTGTTCTTTATGAAGCGGGCTGATGGACTAATAAGGGAGTTCTTTAGAGGAGGAGATTGATGCCAGACCAGTGACAGCAGCCTTGAGATTTCTCCCTTATCTCAAGGAAGGAATAAATCTATAGGTTGGAAGTGTGAATCCCTTTTTTAGGTGTGGAATGGAGAGATGCGGAGGGGGAAACCAGACAAAGGCCAGACCTGATGCAGAGTCCAGACCGGGACCAGGAACTGGCTGATACGACACGCCCCTTCTGCACATTATTACTTATATGATTTTGCCTGATGTTTTAGTTCAGTCAGATAGGGTGAGCCCATAGGGAAAGAGAGCAGGCATAGTTAGGATAGGAGCTTTTTGAATTTCTGTATCTGATTGTAAAGATAAATTAAATACAGATGTTTAACTTGGAAATCTTCGTCTTGTTTTCTGCATCAAATTTGACACACGCCCAAAGGTTTTTTTTAGATAATAATATACACACACATAGACATATACATGCATACACATATAAACATACTAGCCTGGTCTTACCAGTCTTACCATAACATCGTCATCATTTCATGTAGGGAAGTTTACGGTGGCTAAAGCTACCTAAATACGAATTCTGAGCAGAACACATCACAGTGTTGAAGAAAGTTTATTTTCGAGTTCTTAAAGACTGAACAAAAGAAGACAAAGCCTTGTGTATGATATGTAGTAATGTGCATCAGAGACATGTCAGAACCGAGACGCCAGACTATCCTTGAATTATCAATTCCAGACAGTCCAAATATAATCATGGTCTCTATGGTCTTGAACAGGTCCGCCAGACTCAACAGTGAAATGCTCTTTTACCAATTAAATCCTTCCAAAACCGGTAGGATTCAGTCAGGTTCTGAAGACATCACGTAGTGGTTTGCTTTGCTCACAGCATTTTACTTTTACAAGACTTTATGTTGGGATAAAAACATGTATAATTCATTAAAAAAAAAAAATTAGTTGCCCTAGCGTGCAGAAAATGTGACGCTCTGACGAATGGGTGCCCCACGTGCGCCCTCTTGTGGTTCTAACGGCGCGAGACCCCCGGAAGTCCTGACCTTGGACACAGGCAGACAGGCCAAACTAGTCAAACAGGTCAAATAGGTCAGACAGGTCATGGCAGCTGGCAGAGGAGAGTTTTACCGGACATTTGCAAATGCTTTACAGAGAATAGAGCCTCCACAGCCGCAGAGCAGGGCCCGTGGAAAGCCTGTGCCAAAACACATCCACAGGGCGCCCCAGAGCCTCAGGTGAAAACGACACGTGGTTTATTTGACAGAAACATTCAAAACATATTTTTTCTACTGTGTATTTTTTACTATTATTAGCAAGGTAATCAAAGCTGACCAGCCCAAAGAACTTCCTAATAGAATTCTCAAGTTCCCAAAGAGAAACATATTAGAATGGTAAGCCCTCCGTGGTGCATCCTCATCCCAGTCATGCTCTCGGCAGGATAACGTTCCATATTTACAGTCTATGGTTTCATCACGTGACTAACGCTCTTTTTGTTTTGAAGGCTTCCATCCGAGATTTTAATGAAGATTATGTCATATCTTGACGCGACCTCCCTGTGCTTTCTTAGTAATGTAAACAAACTTTTTTGTCACCTGGCCAATGATGAGTAAGTTTTTGGTCGTTGAATTATGATGTGTATTTTACTTCACTATGGCATGTGTTTCAATCATGACATTTTCACTTTTACACTTTCAAACTCTTCATGGGACCAAAAAGTTGTAGATTAGTTATTTTGATAAAGATCAAAATGTATCAAGAAATGCTCATGCCCTTTACATGTAATTATTTTTGTGATTGATATGGCTGTCGTTTTTGTACCAATAGTCCAATTTTGTGTTTATGGTTTATTGAGGCTGCATGATTGCGATTTCAAGTCTAAATAGCATTTTTCTGTGTTGGCAAATAGCAGACTGCAATTATTTAAGTTCTTGGTAAACAAAAACGGGACCAAAATGAGACAATAAAACAATTATATTTTCACTCCAGACAAAACTATACTCCTTAAACATGCAAGATTTCTGAATCCACATCTCAATATTGATCGGGAACTGTGTGATTATATTGGCTTACTAAATTGTTTACAGTCTTATAGTATATTCCTACATTGAAACATCTGGAACAGTCTTCCTTAATATGTTAGACAGGCTTCTTCTCAGACAATGTTCAAATCCAAACTGAGGAATGTCATCTTCACTCTTTCTAATACTGTGACTATTTATGATTTGAATGCCTTTTTATTATTTCTATCTTGTTTTGTTAAGCACTTTGAGTTGCCTTGTGTATGAACTGCGCTATACTAATAAAATTGCCTGCCTTCCCCTCAGTCTGTTATGGCATAAGATTTACATGACAGAGTTTGGAGTGTTCGGATCGTCGTGGAGGGACTTCCCAAAGCCTCGACTCACATCAGGCGACAGCTCGACGGGTCTTTGGAAGCAGAAGTACTTCAAAGCTCTGGCAGGACAGGATTTGGACCATTGGAGACATGAACTGAGAGACATCAGCCCATACACAGGTCTACCTCGGCAGACTGCGCACGTCCTGAGGTAACTTCAGTTTCATTCTTGTTTAGTTTTTCTAATTTTCTGAGAATATCACCATTAACTCGTTCTTCTGATCTTTTTGTAGAATTCTAGATGTGAACTGGCATTTGAGAATACTTAATTATTTTGGTCAAGAGCTCACACTTAAGCCATGCAATGTCTACTTTTTTGAAACCTCTGTCATTGTTCGATGGAGCAGTGCGTGCCTACCCTTCTTCAACCAGATCTGTGCTTTGGAACTGTATGGCTTGAAGAAGACCTACCCAAATAAGAGGTGAGAGGCTCGCGCACAACTATGATGTACTATTTGTACTTTTTCTGTATTTTCACAGAGCTCCGTGGCATTCACTTATGATGAGACAAGATAAAATGAAGCATACAAGATTGATTGGCAAAGACCGACAGATCATTCTTCTCTTCCTTGCACCTGGCTTTCTTATTGGCATCTGGAGGGTAAATTTCAATGCAGGCGTCTGTGCATGTTACCTGCTGATTATTGATAGTCCATGATTGTGAGAAAGCTCACTTGTCAACACATTGCATAAAATGTTCTATTCTTTGATTTGCTGGCAGGGTCAGAATGTGATTGCTTTCATCATGGTCTGCCTCCACTTTTACCAGCTGTTAGAGCGAAGTCTGTTTGGGTCCCCTGTAAGGTGGGTTGAAAACTGAATGTAAAATTATATGAAACAAAGCTTTTGATCACAGCTTATTTCTAATTTAGCAACCATCAAAATAGCTTTAATCAGATTTTTTGTTTGCCTTTGTAAATAACAGGAAATCTCAAACTAGGAATTTGCTATGGTTCAAGTGGTAAAAAACGTATACAAAAAAAAAAAGATATACTGCGTGCATTAATCTTCCTAACATTTCTGAAAAAAATACTACTTAAGCACATTGACCAGGGGTCCTCCAATAGAATAGATGTATTGATCAAGTCGAGATTTTTTATTTAGTATAGAGTTATTGTTCATTTGTCTTCATATGTGTGGTAGTCATTCCTACTGCTCTGTAACTGGTGATGCAACACTGAAATGTACCCACTGTGGGACGAATAAATGATCTCTTAATCTAAAAAACCAGGATATCCTCATAAGTGCCCCATGCTCTGTGCGTACAATGCATTTAGAAATGGGACGTATTTGCCACTGAACATTGAAACTTCAATTTTTGTAATAATTAGTTCCTTGTGACGCTTTGTTTTGAAACCAACAGCCCATATTTTGAGCCAACAGTGAGCCGGGTTCGAGACCGCTCAGACCCTCAGTATGGGCTGCATGGCTACAGTTTGCATTTTGTCCTGCACAATACTGGGACACAGATCATGTCTGAATACTTCCCTGATGTCCCCTGCCACTCTGGTAAGAATGGTTTTTCCCTTCCTTTTTAGCCCAATTTATTCAACTTTTCAAATTTTTGCATGTATTTTTTCTCTTGTCATTAGTTACGGAAGGCTCGATGGTTCTTGGTGTTATCTACAAGAACAATCTTTCTAATCATCGGCCGTTGTCTGGAAACATCAGACTTCCCTGGAAATCCGAGGAGCGAGAGGGGTCCATTGAGGTACAAGGTCTTACATAAAGCCTTTAATGTGTTTAGGTCGACAACACATTTTTTCTGTCTCATCATTTGCCCTTTCCATATTTATTGAATGCCAAAAAAACACAAAACCAAAAGTCACTTGATGATAAGCAAGGTAGTGTCACAACTAAAATACCTTTACTCCCACAGTCCTTTGTTTCGTAAAGTTGTCATATCTTTATTGGTTGATGGCATTTGACTGATCTCCTCTTGTTCAGAACTGTTGCTTCATGACACTGACTCTTCTGGACGAGAGCCAGAATCCGTTCTGGTGCGTCTGCTCTCCCATCACCATCGCCCGGTCAAGAAGACCACTGTCCTTTGACTACAATGGGGACCACTTCCAGATGGACTGTGGCCACCCAGAGGGCCGAGTGAAGATGGAGCTGGTGTGGCTTCATGAGGAGAAGCAGTTCGTCCTCATCAATTTTACTGTCTTAGTTGCCATCAACAAAGTCAACAAGTACTTTTGCACAAATTACTAAGTGAAATGTGCTTTTGTGTTATAGTTATGTATAGTTAGGGGTGTGGAAATGTTCAGCTCATCATTATTTCTTTGAGGCATTTGAAATGTTTACAAAACATTTGATGCTGGATTTCAAAGAACATATTGTACTTAATTAAGTACCACTATAGAAATATTATTTAAATAACAATTGACAAATGTATAATTTATTTATTATGCATGTCAAACTGTTTTGGTAGTTGATGTTTTCTTGGGGGTATTTATTTAACAAACAAAGACAAATAGACCAATTATTGACAGCAGTACTTCACTATTGTACTATGATTGTGATCCTTTTTTATTTTCAAAGGTGTCAGTCACTGGATTCAATCTTTTGCTCATGAGACAAATTATTTTATTGTGTATTAATTTGAAACACATGTTGTTGTCACAATAAACACATTTCTGGTGGATTTATTAGTTTCAGTGTGTCTGCTCTTTAACCCAGCTCCACAATTGCCAGGTAAGACCAGGGGGCGGGGAAGTTGCAGGGCTTGATCAGTGTGTGTGCGTCTCCCATGGGTGTTTCTTGTCTTTGCAGAGCGACCTGGGCGCAGCAGGGAGCCAGTCCTGACTAGAATCTTTCAAAGATCCTTGGATAGTTCTTGACAATGGCGGTGAATAAATGCTTGAAGTATCTCCTCTTTCTCTTCAACTTGCTGTTCTGGGTAAGTTCCCTTTGCATCCTTTTTCTTTCATCTACAAACTTGAATGAACATTAAGAAGTCTCTAATGTGCTTGTGAATACATGTCCTCTATTCCACAAAATATATGTTCTTGTAATAAAGATACATTATATTGTCAGATGTGTTGTTTATAGTCGAAACAAACAGAAATGAGGGGAAAACATGTAAGTATGTGGCCGTAGTCTCCATATGATCTTTTCAACACGCAGATGCAGTTCCATCACATACATTTCATGTGGATATGGAACCTTATTTAGAAGTATGTTATATCCCCATGTTGACCCCCATGTTGACGATTATTTTCTTATTGTGTGAATACAGTTTGTCGAACTGAATACTTTTTCCACTTTCTCACTCTGGAGGTGTTGGGCCACATTGGGATCAGTTTCAAAGCCTCTGTTGTTGTAAAGATAGTGAGGAGAACCGGTTTGGCCTGATCACTCCTATTTCCAAACGCAAACATTAGTCAGTAGTTTCAGGGCGTGGCTCTCGCTGCTCTTGCAACATTACATTTGTCATCTTTGCAGTGGTTATTCCTCAATCTCAGTCATTGTTTAAATGTTGAAAGTGTATACTGTACTACATGCTTGTTGAGTGGTGTGATTTTAATAAATAAAATACTGTAGCAAGATTTTAATACATGAAATATTGTAGCAAATTGTCAAATACCATTTAATTCCACCCCAAAGCATCAGTCAACTCATTTTAGAAACCTTTGGTCCAACTATATTTTATTATCAAACGCATTATTCCTGCTGTGTAAATAACCTGAGTTATTTTGTATAGAAAAGTCATGCTTTGTTTAATGTATCCTAAGGGTAGAATAATACTCACACACAATACTACAGATTAAAAGCAGTTGACTGATGGGAAAATAGCAGTAGAGTTTGTAATTATGGGGTATATTTGTTGCTCAAGACACTGTTATGAGTCATCTGCCTTTACAGAGACGGCCTGACCACTACATGTTCCTGTTTTGCTATTTTGCCATTCAAAGCAATAGAATTATAGCATCGCATAGCATTATAGTGTGTGTGTGTGTGTGTGTAATCCTATGAGTCATTGCAACTGAGTCAAGAGCCATCAGATAATCTGCTTAATGCAAGAGACTTTTCACAAAGAAGTAGTCTGGTTTTCCTCACTATAATAACAGACAGGATGATGTTTCATAAAGGTGTGTAAGAGCCCAATGCCACCCACCACTTTGCGGTGCTTATGAGAAATAGCCTATATACATTCCCATAGGTATTATTGATTGTAATGATTCTGTCTTTTGACATGAATTTGTTTTACACATTTTTAACCAGTATACATTTACATCAATGTTTAGGAATTGTGCAAACATTAAAGTCACTAGAGTACGCTTTATTTTTGATAACCAGTGAAAATAATCATTTTAGTTGTTTAGAACGTAGATGTGATTAGATCTAAATTTGGAGAAAAAGCTCTCCATGATATCTCTCCTCAGATATCTATAAGGGAGTGCCCAGCGGCTCTGTAAAGAAAACTAAATTCAGCCAATTTAATTGTATCCATGATCTCATCCTGATGTTCATTACCCAAAGGTCATGACCATAGGTGGTGGTGGGAATGTGAATTTAGAGCTTTGCGTTTTATCTCGACTCCCTTTTCAGCAGGAGGTCGAGAGGTCTTTCTCCAAGTGGAGGAGTCAGTGTCTTGAGTTTTTATTTACAGCTCTGTCAAACAGATCGGTGCAGCGTGTGCAGTAATGCTCTCGCTGTATCGGACTGTTGACCAAATGTCAAATATTCTCATTCAGTTTTTATTATACATTTGTCTCATTCTAATGGTTGTGTTGGAAAAGTGTTTCATTTGTGAGACCCTGATCAAACACTTTAATAGATTACCAATATTTGCGTTAGCCTGGCCTTAGCCATCCGTACACTCCGCTCAATCATCATTTCACAAATGTAATTTGTACTATGGTGTGGTACGACCAGGCTATATTTGCGTGCATGTGTAACCCAAAGCATAAAAATAACTCATTTAAGAATGGGACAGAACATTTTATCCTTAAATAATCTTTTTGATTGTCCCAACAGAAAGGGTTAGAAAGAAGAATATTAGCAACAGACATCAGGTCTTTATGAGTCATCCTTTCATCATTTTGGGCTGAGAGCTGATTGCTGGAAAAAAAAAAAAAAATTGTGACAGAGGCCAAAAATAGATTCCTGAGAAAATTAGTAATGGAGCCAAACTTTTGAGAGCTAGGACTTTACTACATAAGTATATTTTGGGCCTTATATAGGTACTACAGCTTATTGGAAAATCCAGATTGAACCTGTATGCATTAGTGCTGGTATGGGGTTCTGCCCTCCCATATCACTACACATTGAGCAGTGTTGTATAGTTTTCATCTGTAATTCCTTTTTTTGTCTGAAAAGGAGCTAATTTGCCAATATTAACAGTTTGCAATTCCCACTGTCTTCAGATCAGCGGCTGCATCATCTTGGGTGTTTCCATCTACCTGAAGGTCAACAAGGATAAGAATTCTGTGAGGCTCAATTTTGTCCCTAAAAAGACTTGTTTTTGTTCTTTTCACAACTCACTAATTTCTATTTTTTGCAACAGATTTCAAGTGAGTCCCTCCCGGGCGTGGACCTCCTGATCGCTGTGGGGGTGATCATCATGCTGCTGGGCTTCCTGGGCTGCTGTGGTGCCATCAAAGAGAACCGCTGTATGCTTCTATTGGTATGGGCCTCTTATACAAATGTTTTTGTCATATACATATATATTATTATTATTTTATTATTATTATTATTGTTATTATTAATCAGAATCATAACCATATTCAATTGTGCCATTTCCAGAATTAGGGAGCCCTGAGTAAATTTTGTTTTAGGGGCCTTTTAACAGCCACTGAGGCTTCTTTCATTCAAATGGCCTCCAATAATTGCAACATATAATATTTTTCATAATTTGTGGGGTGTTCTTGGGGGCCCTCTAGTGACCATATGCAGCTGCTTATTCCAATTATGTATGGAAAACAAAATGTTTGCTTGCAGACAGATATAGCTTTGAATTATATAATTCATGGGAGTTAAAACATCTTCTTTTTTAAACATTATTAGATATAAAAATTTGGTTAAAATATGTTTATTCTTTGTTTTCGCTCTCAGTTCTTCATCTTCCTGCTGCTGATCTTCCTGCTCTTGGTGGCAGCAGGTATTCTGGGAGCTATTGGCGAACATAAGGTAAAACACGCACATTGTTTATGGGATATGAGCAAGTTTTAATTCAAATGTTTTTTTCAATGGTTCCAGGTCAAAGACTGGATTCGTGAGCGCATGAATAAATACCTGCCTCTGAATAACCAACCTGACAGTGTTAAAGAGGACCTGTATAAGATGCAGACTGAAGTAATGTTACGCAGTTCATTTACATGACACCCAACATGACACAAAAACCTGTGAATGTCTGTTTGAGTTGTAATCCTTATCTCCTCAGCTCAAGTGCTGTGGTCTGCTCAAAGGTCCAGCCGACTGGACCAGTATTCCTCCATCCTGCAAATGCCAAAGCACTGACGAGACAGCAAAAGACAACTGTGACTCCAATGGTACATTTAAGACGGTGAGAGAATTAAATGGAAGAGTTCAACTTGAATGTTATTTTGGCAATTTCAATGAGAATGAGAATCCCATTTGAGGAGCATTTAAAAACTTGTGTGCAATTATTTTGTTTAGACATGCACTGATCGAATCATTGAGGAGATGGAGAAAAGCATGGGGATTGTGTTGGGAATTGCCTTCGCCATAGCCATCCTCTTGGTAATGAAAAGAAAACGCTCGATTGATTGGAAAAGAATCGAGTGGGGTATTTTTTTTTTTTTTCAATCAAACTCATAACATTGTCATTATGTTTGCAGATCTTTGGTATGGTCATATCCATGATCTTGTACTGCCAGATTGGAAAGAAGGACAGTGCCACTACAGCATAAACAGTTTCCAAGGTTACCTCTGAACTCCTTAGAGCACTACTGTTCAGGGATAAATACTTAACATTCACTAAGCTCAGAAATGTATACGTTTTGAATTTATGTAATTATGTCTTTTGAAAATCTTGCCTGAACAATCGTATGTGCCTTTTAACATTATGGAAGCGACAAGTGTCAATAAGTAATTGAGTTTAAAGTAATTTAAAATGAGTCTGTATGTATTGTGTAATGTGGTGACATGAATAGGAGCCAGTTTAAATGTTTTGAAAGCACATTCTTATTTTGAGCTAATGCTCTTTATTTGTAAAATATCATTTAAACTCAATCACATGGACTTTGTTTTTTGCTGTTGCTGGAACTTGTATATCTCAGTTCACTATGCAAAATTGAGGAATAATTGTTACATTTAGAATGTTTAAGTTATTATACTTTTACCTCTGGATGGATATTGAAACAGAGCATGTGTATGGTTTAGTCTTGTCACTTTTCCAACTGTCTAAATATAATAAACAAAGAAGGGAGAGTTGGCTGTAGCCCACTCTGTCTTTTCTACATCTTAAAATGTCTAAACTTCCTTATTCTCCTTTGGAATATAAACAGACTGTGGCAGTTGCTATGTCCAATCCAATGTTTGTTGAAATGTTTAGATCAGTTCTCATTTCTGTATGATCCAATTATCTGAATAGCACGAACTAATATGGCATTTCTATTCTATTTATTTATTTGTTCCTTTCATGAAAATGCTTTGTTCACATTTTCATATAATAATAATTACATACATAATTTCAACATTTACATGAAGGAAAGGAGCAGAAAAGAAGAATACAATTCTTATGTTTTTCTGCCCGTTTTCAAAATCATATCAACCCTGGTCTTTCACATGGTACCAGTTTAACCAACAACAAAAATGTACATATGTTTTGATGCAAATGCATTTGCAACAAATTTGCATTTAAACAAATACATCCAATTACTCAAGAACTTCATACGATTCAATCATTTTTACTATATACAACTTTTTAAATTGAGAGATATTTTGACAACGTTTTGATTCATTTTCCTGAGCATTCCACAGTTTGACACCTTTGACCGATAAACACATTTGTTTTAATGTTGTTCGTGCAAACTGGTGTTTAAAGTCAAACCTTCTCCTGGAGTTTTCATTTTCTGACGTAACAGTGAACAGTGATTGTATATTTTCTGGTAGTGCTGCATTTCTAGCTTTAAACATGACTAATAATGTCTGTAATTCTATTATATTTTTAAATTTCAACAATTTGGACCTAATGAATAGTGAGTTTGTATGTTCTCGAAATGCAGCTCTGTGTATTATACGGACAGCTCTTTTCTGTAGTAAGGATAACGACTTTATACTGCTTTCATAAGTGTTACCCCACACTTCTACACAGTAAGTAAAATAAGGCAAAAACAATATAACATTCGCAATATGTGGACGGGTAACATGTATTTAGATTTGTTCAAAATAAATACGCTTTTCAATACTTTATTTTTCACGTACATTATACGTGGTTTCCATGTTAAACTGTCATCCAACACTACACCAAGGAACTTTATTTCATTCACTCTTTCAATAATTGTGCTGTTAATAGATTTTCTTCAGTTTTTCACACCATAAACTTTGTTTTTACTATATTTAAAGATAATTTGTTGTCATCAAACCAAGTTTTCAGTTTTACCATTTCATTTCCAATATTTTCAGCCAGGTCTTTTAGATCATTTCCAGAAATGAAAAAGTTGGTGTCATCTGCAAACAACACAAACTGTAATAACTTTGACACTTCACAAATGTCATTTATATATAAAATAAAAAGTTTAGGTTCGATAATCGAACCTTGAGGAACTCCACACTTGATATTCAGGCATGTGGATCTCTTACCTCCAAATTCTGTATATTGCTGCCTATTTTCTAAATAGCTGGTTAACCAATTCAAGACTACTCCTCTGATTCCATATGAATATAATTTAGATATTAGAATAGAATGATCTATAGTGTCAAATGCCTTTTTCAAACCAATAAACACTCCTATAGTATATTTCTTATTATCAACTGCTGTTGATATTTCTTCTGCAATTTTTGTTAAAGCCAAATTTGTCGACTGATTGGACCTAAAACCATACTGATTCTCATTAAGTAATTTATTAGTTTCTATAAAACTGTCCAGTTTATTTACAAATATTTTTTCTAATAATTTTGAAAATTGAGAAAGCAATGACACTGGCCTATAGTTATTAAAGTCATGTCTATCTCCATCTTTAAAAAGAGGAATGACTTTAGCCAGTTTCATTTGCTCTGGAAATATTCCCATTTTAAAGGATAAATTAAAAATATAATGCAATGGTTTGAGAATACAATCTACAGTCATCTTTATCAGTTTCATGTCAATACCATCGCTGTCCTTTGATGTCTTGTTTTTAAGTTTATGAACAACAGTTAATATTTCGTTTTCTGTAACATCAGACAGATACATTGACTGTAGATGATCTTTTCCTCCATTACAGACACCTTTAAATGTTTTGTTACACATAATTTTATCAGCTAAACTAGGTCCTATATTTACAAAAAAGGAGTTAAGTTCATTCACAATTTCCTCCTGATTTTCAATGACTTTTTTATCTTTTGTATAGTATTTTGGGATTTCTGTGGATTCCTTCCTTTTTACTATTACCTTGCTCAGAATGTTCCAAGTTGCCCTGATGTTATGTTTGTTTTCATAAAGAATTCTAGAGTAGTATTCCTTTTTGGCATTCCTCAATATGGTTGTCAACTTATTTTTGTAGCCCTTGTAGCGCTTTTCAGCCATTTCTGTTCTGGTTTTTATGTAGATCTTGTACAGTTTATTTTTCTTTTTGCACGCATTATGTAAACCATTTGTAATCCAAGGTTTTTTGTTATCATTACCTCTAACTCTACATGGAACCTCTGGACAATGTTTATTGTAGAGATGTAAGAAACGCTTTAAAAATGACTCGTATTCTGTATTCACATCATTTGTATAAATGCTGTTCCAGTCTTGATCATATAGATCATTTCTGAAAGCATTTACCACCTCATCATTCAGTTTTCTTTTATACACTTGTTGAAATATAATTGACTTGTTTGGTAATCTATGGTTAAATATTGCAAAAATAGGCAAATGGTCGCTTATATCATTAATTACTAAGCCACAGTTTGGGTAGTTTTCTAAACAATTAGTAAATATATTATCAATCAGGGTTGCACTAGTTGCAGTTATTCTACTAGGCTTTGTGATCATTGGATAAAGTCCTTTACCATATAATGTGTCTAGGAAATCGGAAGTTTGTGAATTTGTGTTACTTTTTAACAGATCAATATTGAAATCTCCACATATTACCACAGTTTTATTGTAGTTTAAATTACTTATCATGTCTTCAAGAATGTCCTTGAATGTTTCAATTTTGGATCCTGGTTTCTTGTACACACATGCAACAATAATGTTTCGGCTTTTTTCTAGTTCTATTTCTACAGCAATACTTTCCAACAAATCATCAACAACACGAGTCATACATTTCACTGGTTTACATTTTAGATCTTTGTCAATGTAGAGAGCTACTCCACCTCCAATTGCAGTTGTTCTGCTGTTGAAATATAAATCATAGCCTTTCATTTTCAAATCAACCTCCTTCTCTTTGTTGATGCAGGTCTCTGAAAGGGCAATCAACTTAAATTTACCTTTAAATATGTCCAAAAAGTGCTCAATATTTGTGAAGTTCTTTGGTAAACTTCTACAATTAAAATGAATTAAAGAAAATGCTTCCTCGGTTTGTACTTCACCCAGTTGTTCTTCTGTGTAATATATACAAGAGTCCTTTAAGTCTTTAAACAAATTAGATTCTGGGTCCACATCTTTATCAAAATCATATATGCCATGTTCTGTGAAATCAAAATTTGAAAAAGATTCACTCACCAATGAATCAGTCATTTGTAGTGTAGTTTATAATCCATTATGCATTATGGTGGAAAAACATGATTAATGGTTAAAAATAGTTATAGCAGACGTTGGATGGGAACCTTTTTGTGTTGTTGAACACTCCACACTCAGCAAATTGGCATATTGCAAAACGAAAGCATTTTATGTGTACCACAGTATAAGATATAATTAGTCATCCCGGTATATACAGCATTCTTTCATCTCTGCACAATATATACATATATATATATATATATATATATATATATATATATATATATTTTTTTTTTTTCATTGTGCAGCACTTTGGAAAATGTGTTTATGAACTCTGGATTGGATTGGATATTTATCCTCCTACTGTTTTCATGGATTCCTCTGCAGGCGTCTTCTGTTCCAGGACCACGAGCCCTGTGCAGGCCTTATCTCTGGCCCCTGTGGTAAACGCCTTTGCTCCGGGTGCAGACTGCTCCTCGGATGATGCTTCCTCCACTGGTGGCTTGTCTTTTAAGGTGTGCTTATACATGTGATGAACTTTGCGTTTTTGATTTGGAATATTTATATTTTATAAAACATACTGATTCTGATATAACATTCTTGTACAAGAATATTTCTCCAAACACTAGTGCTGGATAAAATGTACCCAGAGCTAAAGCTGCAGCTGCTGCCCTGTTCATCATCACTGTTATTGTGTGTGCTACAGTTATTTATATAAAGAGGACGACTCTTTTCCAAGTGTGCACGACGTCACCAACCAGCCCCTGTTCATTTGCTATTTATAGTCCACCTTTTAACTCTACTTTCAGTACAATACAATCCACTTGATTTGAAAAGGTTTTTATTAAGTCTGTTTGTCAGTAGTTCAGATGGAGTAATCTAGCTTTATATTCTGCTTTTCCTACTGCAAAAAAAAAATTAAATATGAGGTAATATTTGCTTGAATCAAGTGTTTAAAAAAAAAATCTTAATGAGTACATTCAGACTGTTTTGTCGATGGGAAAAAGTAATTTAGTCTATTTTCCTTATTCCAAGGAAGGATTTCTTGAATCTTTTTGAAACAAGATAATTTAGCATTTCCCATTGGTTAATCTTGTTTTAATGCAGTCCAAATGTGCACAAACTAAGATATATTTTGCCAAAGTTGATACATTTTTGACCTTTTTTTTTTTTTTTTTTTTTTAGCACTTTTTGCAATGTTTGATCAATGCTATGAATTATTTGCAAACTTCACACTTGATGATGATGTGGCCATAGCTGCCCTAGGGCACACAGCTGACCCAATTGTGTGTCAGTCCCACTATTGTCAAAGTTCATGTTATGTTCCTGTTACGGTAACACATATACCATATACTATGTTCATGGGCAATGGTCAGTGCCCAATCTAGCTATCAAAGAACATAAACTACATGTTTTATTTAAAAAAAAAAAAAAATCATTGACATGACAAGTAAATTTCCCATCCCTTTACAATTCTCTGTAAGGAAATGAAGTGGGAGAGGCCTTTGAACATTCAAAATACTGAATGAACATGAACAGGCTTGTTGGTTTGAATACATATTTTCTGTGATATTTACAACTGCTTTGTCGATGTCATGTTGCTGACAAAGGAAATTGCATTTGAAATCTCTGAAAGGCGTTCCATGAATACAATATTAGACATTATTACATGACTTAATATTGTCAATTACCCATTTCCTCTTCTTCCTGTTGATTCTGTTTCTTCTCCCTTAATCACATAACCTTGAGTGACCCCGCGTCAGCCTCATCTCTGCGTCCTCCGCCATCCTCACATCCCCGCTCCATTGCGCGCACTGCTGCAGCCAATTCTCCAAACTTGGTCATGTTCTTGGTTCTAAGGCAAACACACAGTGAGCTTTAAACAGCATCACTCACACATGCACGCAGAGGCCGGGTCTATTTCAGCCCGCTCACTCTGCCGCTGGCCATGGCTCGGTGCAGGAGTTACTTACGGGGACTGGATATCTGCGTCACTGTCTTACTGTTGGTGAGCGTGCGTCTTATTGGTTCACTGTAATTGTTTGTGTTGATTACGGGAACTTGTCAAAATGATGTAATAATATCTATTTTAACATAACTATCATTATCATTATAATTTTTTTTATTGTTTCTGGAAGGGTGTTCTTTGCATTAATGCCAAACCTTTATCCCTATATGTGCGTTATGAAGAGTATATTTCAAACCATAAGTAACAGAAGTAGTTCAGTTCAGTCAGTGGTGGACAAGGAGAACGAGAGCGCATGCCCTGACCTATTTGTGGAACAATATGTGTTTTGGGTTTTTAGAAACAAGTGTTAGAGGAACATAACATTTTTTAAGACATTCAAACATGTCAATAATTAATTTACAAAAACAAACAAGTGCCATATATATATTATTTTAAAAAGGGTTAGGGTTAGTACAAATAGTTTTCACTTTACCAATTAGTTTTTTGAAAAGCCAAATATATTTTAGTGGCATAAAAACACTTTTTCACTCCTTCTTGAGCCAATCTTTTCAAGTGCACTGCTAATAACAAAACATGTTGAAGATTGTAACTAAAGGAATACAACTTGTTTTTTTTTTGCAAATGAACTCTTCCTGTATATTCCCCAATTTATGAAATGGATTTAGAGATTGATTGGTTTGACCCTGTTTTAATTCGTAACACTTTGGGATTCGGTGTCAATGAGAGGTGCATTATAAATAATTATTATTTTTCAAAAAGTCAACATTAGTGTTTTGCCACTGAAAATGCATTTATGAACGTTGGACAAATGTGTGACTTTTGTCTCTGTGCAGCACTTTGGAAACTTGTTTATTAAAATGTGCTTTGTACTGTATGTAAATAAAGTGGATTGGATTGGATTGGATTCCGCTCCTGTTGTGAATATTAAAGACAGTACATACACTTAAGATGTAACTGTTTATCTTCTATTCTATTTTATTTCATGTATTGATGCTTTCTTGAATGGTTTGTATGATTTGTGCTTATGTGTTCCAGAGTCAATACGTTTTGAAAGATTATTTTGTGTGTGTGACCGGGTATGTGAAAAGCCCGGATGCACACTCTTCTGCATTTTTAAATATTGGAGCAAAATCTGTGTTGGAGTATGTCTGAGCAGGGCCACAGAGCCCAACTCAGAATGATGGATTTTAGATATAGGGAGAGCTATGGAAATAAATGTTATTAAGATTTAGACATCCTTTATTTGTCCAACAGAGGGGACATTTCAGTGTTGCCATCACCAGTTACAGAACAGTATAGAAAGATGTAGCACACAGCACAAAAAAAAAAAAAAAAAAAACCTTTAATAAAATAAAATAAGATTTCTAATTCTAGCATGAAGAAGAAAAAAGTCAAAAAGCTCTATTGTTAGCATAATGAGTACAGACTGAACTCTTGAATTTCTCAGCCTTCCTCCCTGGTTAAATCATGCTACAATCCCTGTGTTTGAACAGTTGGATTCTCTGTTGCTGGTAAATCGACAACCTTGTAAAGTCCTTCGAGAGACAGCAGATGATCGCTGTTGTGATTTAGGGCTTTACAAAAATAGTTTAAATTTAAATCAATGGTTAAACACAAAACTAAAAACAAATGTATTGTCACATTTTTGTTGAAGAAGACAGTTTGTCCTATTGTACATTATAGTGATTCCTACATATTATCCTCCTGATGTTGTGATGCTGTAAATGTCAAATTAGGTCTCTGTCTTAAGGTCTCAGGAGTGGTGATGATCAGTGTGGGCTTTTCTTCCACTGACAGTGACAAACCCGTCGCAAAGGTAAACAGATCAACCTCTATAATTGCCCCACTGTAGCCCATTTGGTACAGTGAACAATTCCATGTGGCGTAGATCTGGGTCACTGGTGAAAACTTTGGCCTTGTGTTTGTGCAGTTGTTGGAAAAGTTGTCCAGCAGTGATGGGCTGCTGGTGCTGCAGGTGCTGGGACCCATCACTGTGGTCCTCTCCCTCCTGGGTCTGTGTGCAGCTTCTTTAGACATTAAGTCCCTGCTTCTCCTGGTAACTCATCCTTCAAACATGTTTCCTCTCAAAAGTGCGTTTTTATCATAACTGGTCTAATGTGCTCTTCAGTTCTCAGCTCTCACCTTTGTGGAGTTTGTGGCCCTGATAGTGGTCGCCTCTCCTCTCATACAGATACAAGCCCAGGTAATGCACTTTCTCCACAGCGTCAAAGTCACTGCTGTTATCGCATGTGGGAATGAATAAATAATTTATTTCAAGCATGAGCATGACACAATAACATTAAATTCCTAAACGTTATAGTAAACAATATATATTAACACAGATTTACATATTTTCTAAGCACAATGAAGTAATGCTCTTTGCTTGTAAGGGAGTGAGAAGAAGTAAAAAAACTTGTTTACTCCAACTCCCAACTACAAAACAAAACTAAATACTGGATACTGTCCTGGACAACATAAAAGTACAACAAAGTTTTACATTATACTCTATTATACAGATAAATGCATAAACACGCGCAAATGCACATACACATACATATGCACATACATACAAATATACATATACAGTATATACACACACATCCATATACATGTACACATACATACATACGAACACAAATACAATACACACACATAATACTTGTATAAGACAATAAAAACACTTACATTCTCTTTATCGACTTGTATTTTTAAGTAGGAACATAACACTATTTAGAATGTTTCCTCTGATTTGTATCTCATTAACAAAACTTTACAAATTCACTCCAATTAATTTTTGTTTTAAATTCTTTTTAAGTTTTGAATAGGGTTTGGCTCATGAAACCATCATTTATAATCGTATCACCCATAGTAACTCCAAACTTTACATTTCATATTTCTTCCAAGGCCATCACTCTACTCTGTTACCAGCAGAGGGCGACCAAAACCTATTTCAGAATAGGGTTGTGCAATACAGCGGAACCCACTATTCATCTGTTACTAATCATACACTAAACCTTTTCCTTCTTTATAAACCATGACTGTAACTGTAGCCACGACCATAACGTTAACAATGTTAAAAAACTGAGTACCTTTCTTCCTTTAAACACTTGTAATTGTGTAAACTCTTCCTTGAGAAAGCACATTATAAACATTCTGTTTGGATTGAAATGAAACATATTGTCTTAATCTAAGTAGAGATCTTAAGTTGTATATCTAATAGGAGGATTTTCTACATCCGGGTGGATCATCAAAACTATTGGTCAATCTAATTCTGGTGATTTGTGCTCGTCAAATAAGACCAGAGAATTTGGTTCAAAAAGTAGAGAGGGCAGTTCTTTCCTAAAATTTGGGAAATCCTCCTTTATACCTTTAACTCGAGATTTTAAGGATTGCATCAAAAACAAACACAAAAATGTATTTACTGTTTTCACCAACTTGAGGGATCTTGTTTGTGTTTGGTTGGGTTTTTAAAGTGCATTGTTGCGCCCCTGAAGAACAAGGCTTTTCTCTGTGTCTGACTACTGCATACTCAATCATTATATCCATGTCTGTGCAGATGGACAGTGCAGTGGAGGACGTGTTTGTGAATGTGACCCCACTACACAAGCAACAAACCTATATCAAACAGGAGCTGAGCAAACTTCAGGCATCTGTGAGTGAGACATGCAAACACAGCACTGTTTATTATATCAATGTTGATTTAAACGTAAACAATAATGTAAAGTGTAAGCGTTTGTTCGCAGGAATCTTGTTGTGGTTTGAGGAGTTTTGAGGACTGGGGGGAGCAATTCCCTGCTTCCTGTCTCTGCACATCTCCCACTCGGTTTCCACAGAGGTACACTTACAGAGTATATCAATGATGCTGTTGTAATAATAACTTGATTGAAGGCCGCAAGCAACATTCAGATTCAAATTCAGAAAACTTTATTGATGTCACGGAGTGAGATGATAGAGGACCCAAAATGCAGGAATGCAAAAATAATGATTTAATAAAATAAAGTCCAAGGTAAAAACAAAACTCAAAATCCAAAATACAGAACCAGGAACACAAAATCAGGAACAGGACGGAACAGAAGTTGACAATACAATGGACCAGCAACAAGAGAAGAGAAGCACAGGGTAGACACAGACACAGGTGAAACACATTAGGGCGGGGTATACAATCAAGACAGGGGGAAACAGGACGTCAAAGTCAAACTAAAACCAAAGCACAGAGAACAGATATCAAAATAAAGCTAAAGTCCAAAATAACAAAATTCACACCATGACAATTGATCCCAAAGGGCAATTCTTTTTCAGCATAAGCTCAAGGCAGAACATACGTACTCTACACAAACACACAGTGAGTCTCAAAGTTCACACAGCAGCAAGTTACACAATATAAGTTACAGGGTACACAATATAAGTTACAAAAACAACAATGAACAACACAATTCCCAAAAAAGTCCAACACCTCTACAAGAGTTCAACAGTTTTATGGCAGAGGGCACAAAAGAATTGGCAAAACGGTTGGTTTTTCGTGTTGGAGCATAAAAACGACGCCCTGAAGGCATCAATACAAAGTCAGCGATCAGAGGATGTTTGGGCTGAGCCAGAAGACTGTACATTTAGCTTTATTCAGCACCTGTTCCTCCCACACAGATTGGAGGTCTCTGAGTTTTCCTCCAGTGATTTTGGTGCAAGTTCTCACAACACTCTGTAACCTGTTTCTGTCCTTCAGCGTCAGGCTTTGGAACCAACAGATAAAAGAATAGCTAAGAAGGCTTTCAATAAAAGAACAATACAAATTATTAAGAATTGTCCTGTTTACATTGAAAGAGTTAAATTACATCAACAAGGAAATTGAACTCTTTTAACATTGAATGGCAGGCACCTTCATTATGGCTCTCATGGAGGTGTCAGGAATGAAACAGACAGAGACAGATCGTGGTGCGCCAAAGCTCTGGAAGTTTATTGGGCTTCTCTCAGGTTCCAGTGGTTTCAATTGTTTCTTCCCTTTCAGACAGAACAAAGCCAGTACACAGTTTATATAGTCATTGTTACGTCACACATTGAAAGACACACACGTGTCAGATCCAGAGTCACTCAGAGCATATAGTCATAACATGGATACACAATCAAAGTCCTTGTAGAGTCGTCTTGCGCTTGTCCTGCGTAGGCCAAATAGCTATCTAATGCTAATAGAGGAAAAACTAATATTTTAATGAATCAGATCTGTTTGAGTCGGTGCCTCCAGTGAATGACGTGAGCACTTCCATCACTTTGACAGTAAACCTTTTTAGGTCGGATTCTGGCGCACACACCTTCAGAGCTTTCAAAGATCTTTCTCTAACTTAGGACGTCCCACTTTGGTAGATGTTGTGCAGTGAGTCTGAGCCCCAGTGGGAAAAGCCCCAGGAGGAAGTAGTCATCAATGCATTTTAGAGATTTCCGCATTTTCCATTAACACAAAAGGGGGAAGTTCTGTCATCTCTATGGCAACACGGTAAAAAACCCTATAGGTGTTATTGACTGTTTTGATCCAAATGCAAAGAAAAAACTAAATAAAAACCCCAGACATGTTAACTAATTTGCACTTTGTATGTAAGGTATGTCATTTTAAGATTTTAAAAGAAAAAAATAAAGTTAATCATTTCAAAGCTTTTGGCTGACTGCTTCTGTGATCGACTGGAGCATCTGGGTCACCTGCTCACCCCCATAGGACCTCATTCATTCCACTGTTTACTATAGCAGGAGTAATGATGGCTCATGCCTTTGGGTTATTTGTGCAGAGGGCAACACTGTTCCTCCTGGGAGCCATAAGTTTAGGCTTTGCCAAATCATCTCTCTTTGGTGAAACCACAGTCAAAACTGGATAAAACCCAAAATGTAATCCTCGTATCATCATGTAATGAATATATGTTTTGTATCGTATTTGATGCATTACACACACACGCATGCACACACACACACCCACACACACAGACGTGCATGCACACCAACACACAATGAATGTGATGCTTGGATGTTTTGTTTTCTCTTTACTATATATTGTGTTTTTAGATAAGCCCTGTACAAACCCTATTATTTTCTGTAACTGTTTTGTTGTAATCAGTGGTAAATTCCTTTTAGACATAAGCATAAACTTTGTATTCCCTTGGTTGTAATGCACCAGATCTGAGTCTATGCCTCCATTGAATAGAACAAACACTTTTATGGCTAGACTGAAATACTGAAACCTAAAAACAAACATGGGTAAAGTAAAACCCCTTTTTTCCGTCTCATGTTTCTAGCAACTTGGAGGTCTCCAATGTCAGTTCTGTGGACTCATGTGTGTTAGCTGTGAGGATTCCACACTACATCTGGGTTCATTCTGAGGTATCTGCACAACTGAACTGGAGACATTTCAAAGATGACAATTAGAACTTGTTTCAACTTTTGATTTCATCCTTTTCAGCCCTGTGGCGCGATACTGAAGAACTATCTGACTTTCCCCATCAAAGTCAGAATAGGAATTATTTCTGCCGTTACCACCATCACAGTATGTACCTTTGCCTATAGAACAATTAAAAACTGGGACTTGAACAAGAATTTACCAAAACAAGTCACAGATCACTGAAATCCATTGAAATAATAAGTGAAATGATTTTAGTCTGGAATATTTCACACTTAAAATAAAACTCCTAATAGATTTAGTAAATGCAGATGAACTTTGTATACTTGTAATAAATTAGGCTTGTGTGTTTTAACTATATTTGATTGGATATTGTTTTTTATGGACTAAACCATATATTAATGAACACACAACTAAACTTTTCCGACATTTGAAACACAAATTGTGGCTTAAGTATTTGGTATCGACATTTATCTCTTTGGCGTGCCGAGCTTTTCACACCTGTGAGTGTCTCTGTACAGGACGAAACACTCACACAGATAAAATCTAGACAGTGTCACCAGTATGTGCCATCAACCCCACCATTCTAGTCAATGTGGGTAAATACAATTAAATGTGAATGTAAATCTTCATCTACTTGTCTGCTTAGCGTCAGAGGTCTGGCTGCCTAGAGTGTTATTCTCCTCCAGTCTAAATATTTCTCCCCTGAATGTAAAGCCCACACGCACTCTAGCTGTGTGTGTGTGTGTGTGTGTGTGTGTGTATTGCAGATAGCAGCGATAGCCTTGTCTCTGGCTCTGGGTTTGGAGGAGCGCTGGAGAGGGTCTGCTGTGGAGAGCACAGTGGATGACTACAACAGAGTGAAATACCAACCTCAACCTTACTTCTCCTGACCTCCCAGCTCCCACTGCAATTAACTCCTGCTATTTATTCTATTGTTGATTATTTATGTGTTAAAAATGCATTTTCAACCAGCTCATCAAAGGCTGTTAGAACCGTTGACATCTCTGAGGGGTCTATGGGAGATTGGAGGGAGGGGGTCATTAAAGGATCTATTTTGAGTCATGGAAGGAGCAGCGGGTTCCGAGAATACTTCATAATCAGTCCTGTCGCTACTGTATATAGGGATGGAGTGGGATTTCAAATACTACAATTTAAAATGGAAGAAAAATTGTATTAAATAAAAAATTGAATAGAAAAATGGATTAGTGTTGTTTGTTGAAAGCGTGCTGTGGGATTTCAAATACACAAATACATTTCAAATACTGTGGCCACTAGAATATGCTGTTGCTTATATCTAAAATGTTTGAATTAGTTAATACAGTTTCCAGATTTCTTCTTTCATTTAGGGTTCTTTTATATTTTGACATACTGTAAATGTTGTTTGGCCGGTATTGGCTCAGGGGGGTTTCTGTCATGGGAGGGTCAGGCTGCTGCAGAACCATTTCCTATGTCACTATGTCCACTTTCACCATGGTATATCTGGAAATCACCTTTTTGTGCAAGGCCTCGAGCTTTGCAACAAAGTCGTTGAAAACCACAAATGCGAGTTGAGTTGATCTATTTAATCGGTTGTTAATTTAATTTATATATTTAACATAACTTATTTTTAGTATACTGTAAATTGCAATTGGCTATTTAACTCAAAAATAAAACTCCAAGGGCTGCCTAAAAAATGTTAGTTTCAGTATCAATTTGATTACAAGCACAGACTGTCAATACATACATCTGAAATGTATGTTTTAGATTTACCCCGCTTTAACCGATGGATGTAATATTGTACCGGAAAATTTGAAAATATCTGCCCATTTGACACATATTTAGGAAAAAGGCCAAAAATGACAAAATGATAATTATTTCAAAGCAAATGTTTGGTTCAATGATGGGTTCAGTACGCAAAGTATCATTCCCCATGTGACTAATGTGTAGTTTTATGACCTTCTTCACCTGTGAGCAACGAGCTATGAAACAGATTTGGTTTTATTTCATACAGTTTGGTCTAAATTACCGCTACATTTGGCTGTTATATACCCACAAAATCCCCTTCGGCCAAATACTAGGTCCCAAAAGAATTTAAAAGACGAGTTTTTATAAGCCACTAGTTCAGGATTTTGCAATTATTCATAAAACACAAGTTAATTCTATTCAAAATTCTAAATAATTGTGGGTCTGTTTAATCATTAAGGTAAGTAAAGAGTAAAGTGAGCATTAAGCAGCCATTTTGACATTTTCAAAGGGTATTTAATGTACACAGTATGAAAACATGTGTGAGTCCCACTTTTGAATTTTTACATAATATAAATAATAATAATAATATATAAAATCTTAATCATAAAATAAATTATATAAAACCAAACCTTTTTGGCTTTGACATAAAAAAGTTATCTGTTACTTTCTGAAATCCCTATGTTTGACAGTAAACGCTGAGTTAGTTCTGTTATTTTACTTCTCCAAACCACTATACATGCCTGGCTTAACTAAAATACCCTCTGAAAAAATAAATGTCAGTCCGTTACATGTTTGACAAAGCCTAGACAGTTTTGGTTTTGATTCTTGTAACACAACAGGTTTCTGGTAATTTTGGATAAATGAAACTAACAGGTGCATGTGCAGGTGGTGCATGTGCATGTGCAAAAAAACCCCGCATTGAGTCTGCCAGTAACCAGGATGTCTTCAACAGTCGTTTTGTGTGGCTCTCCTAAAACAGGTCAGCAGCACTAAAACCTTTATCTCGTAAACCTCAGAAACAAAACAGTCGTAGGTCATGCTTCCACAGACTTTCACATCCTCTCGACTATGGACAGTATTGTCAAAAAAATATGACTGACGTGTTCAGAATTTGATACAGAAATAAGACCAAGCATACAAGAGTAAAAAATTATGGAGCTATTATTGTTTCAATAATATTTGTGTGTGTGTAAAAAGATTTGTGTGTGCGTAACTAGATTTGTGTGTACGTAAAAAGATTTGTGCGTGAGTAACCAGATTTGTGTGTGTGTAAAAGAAATATTTGTGCGTGTGTAAAGAGATTTGTATGTACGTATCAAGATTTGTGTGTGCGTAAAAAGATTTGTGATTGTGTAAAAAAAAAAGACATTTCACACACAAGTTTTTTTTTTACACACAAATCTTTAGACGCAGTCCTGCCTTCGCAGATTCGCAAGTGTAACTTGGACTGTGTGCGTGCGTAAATAGATTTGTGTGTGTGTAATTTGACATTTGTATCTGTAACAGAACAATCTGTGTGTAAATAACAACGTTGTACGAAGAGAAGAACGAAAAAAAGCCTAAGTGCTACGCACAGGCTCCGTTTTACACACAAATCTCTTTTTGACACACCTCTGCCGCCAAGCGTGTTGACACGCTTGGCTTACAAAAAGATTTGTAAGTGTAATGTGGTTGTTCTAGCAGTACACCAGCAGATGGTGCTGTTGTAGCTGGTTATTACCATAGACTGTATATATTAACGGACAGAGTCACGCCTATCTCCGCCGTTCATAGGAGCTGGCCATGAAAAGTGCTTTCACGGAGCAATCCAAGATGGCCGCGAGTGGTCCCGCCCACAAGAAAATTGTGGAAAAACGCATCTGCGCATGCATCAGCCGGCGCAGCTCCATTCATTTGAACGAGAGACTTCAAAAATTCACCGCGAGTAAACTAGAATGGACCTCAGCATTGACACACATGTGGAACGGAGCTTTGGGCCAAAAGACAACTTTTGGTCCAGCCTGTAAAGACCTTTTTGAGAGCTCTGTCAACGTTATATGTTAGCATTGGCTAATTCTTCTTCTGGGTCCACCCCCATCGGCCCTGGGTGGTATTGCAAGCAGTCAGTGCACGTCATTTTGGTCACTTTTGACTGGCTTGGCTGACACATGCGCAGATGCGTTTTTCACCATTTTCTTATGGGCGGGACCACTCGCGGCCATTTTGGATAGCTCCAGTAGATCAAATGTTTTGGCCCATTAAGTTAGAACGGCGGAGATAGGCGTGACTCTGTCCGTCAATATATACAGTCTATGGCTGGGACCCGCCCCCACTGGTTATTACCTACACGCAAGCAAACCAAAACCTACTGCCTTGACAAGACACACTACCGCAGCTGTTTATGATATTTTTTTCCTATATTCAAAATCCTGTCATTCACACCACTGTATGATACATGGATCTATTATAATAACTGGATAGGGTGTTACTAGCTTGGGGCTGAAGGATTCTCGCGTACTGCAGACTAAATTCACGTGGGCTACACAGAAATGTTCCCCATAGAACTCAAAGTAAACTAAAACAGCTGACAGATAACCTACAGCTTTCATAAAGGTCGGATTTTGTGGGAATTTTAGTATCCCTTGTCATCCTGAACTTTTCTTCTTCTTAAATCCTTCGGTTTTCATTAAAATATACACTTAAGTGCCACAAACTCTGCTGGTTTGCTTGCGTGTAGGTAATAACCAGCTACAACAGCACCATCTGCTGGTGTACTGCTAGAACAACCACATTACACTTACGAATCTTTTTGACACACGCTAAACGGCAGAGGTGTGTCAAAAAGAGATTTGTGTGTAAAAAAGAGCCTGTGCGTAGCACTTAGGCTTTTTTTCGTTCTTCTCTTCGTACAACGTGGTTATTTACACACAGATTGTTCTGTTACAGATACAAATGTCAAATTACACACGCACAAATCTGTTTACGCACGCACACAGTCCAAGTTACACTTGCGAATCTGCGAAGGCAGGACTGCGTCAAAAGAAAAAAACTTATATTTCTAAATATTTCTTTTACACACACACAAATCTGGTTACGCACGCACAAATCTTTTTACGTACACACAAATCTAGTTACGCACAAACAAATCTGGTTACACACGCACAAATCTTTTTACGTACACACAAATCTAGTTACGCACACACACATCTGGTTACACACGCACAAATCTTTTTACGCACACCCAATTCTATTTACGCACACACAAATATTATTGAAACAATAATAGCTCAATACAATCAAAGTGATGATCTTCACAGCGTCTCTGGGTCTAGATGCTGACGCTTTGCCCATCTTCACCTTCGTGCTTTACTACACTCTGTACCCCGCAGCTCCCTCTGCCTGTGTGTAGTTTCTGCTGTGTGCGTCCCGGTCAAATGTTGGAGACAAGTCCTTCTGCTCTGCTTTGTCAGAGACTGTATAATACAGCACACTTCCCAGTATTACTGGATCGAGGATTTTAACTTTAAACATGTTTGCACACATGTACATTTCTCCAGTGTGAGAAGGTCTATCTTATCTTATCTTATCTAAAATATATTATTTTAACTAATAAATAGTTAACACTTCACCATGCTCTCCATACTCTCCCTTTGGTTTTGATTTGCAATACTCTCTCTCTCAGTAACCTTCTCCATATCCATCAAACAATTGGATACTCACTCATTTTGTTCATTGTGGGGAATACACAGTAGACTTGGGTCACATGTAGACATGGTTCTGGTTTGAGAGCAAGCCCAAAGTTGCCTACCCTATTTTCTGTTTTTTTAAAAGAACTACAGTATATAATGACACCAAGATCTCTGACAAAATCATTGGACTGAGAATGTACATTTCCCTGATATCATTTTGCAAGATAGATTACTAAAGGGCAAAGGAAGAACAAAAAGACACGCCAAAAAGAGCGCAAACAGACTCAAGTTTGGGAACTACAGAGTTATGACATCATAGGTAAGTGCTGCAATCACTACTTCTTTCAAAGGATTGAAAAAACAAACTGGATTTTATTGTAATTATTCATTTAAGCAGCATCCATTGGTACCACTCTGTTTCTCTTTAGTGTTCTTGTAAAGAGGTGGCCGATAAATGTGGTAGTTGTTTTGCTATTGCCATGTCTTCGGACCACATCAGCCGTGGGACTGTAAATATGAGAGAGAGGGGGCCTCATGAAGGGGCCAGCTGTGGGGGCTTTGTTGCCGTGGTGCAGAAGAGGAGCATGCTTCTTCAGAGGAAATACGTAGAGAAGTGTCTGAAGCCTTTTTACGTTTTATATAAATACTAGTGTTGTGGACATTTTTTATAATGATTCATGGAAACAAAGAAGTATTTTGCATGTTTTGTTTAAAGAGAAAAATTTAACAAACATTCCCAAATATGTTCATTCCTCTCCAAATAATTTGTTTAACATGAAAACAACTCAGATTAAGTCATTTTCTCCCATAGCACTGGGTCAAATACGAAAAAAATGACTTTTCCATGAGAGGCTGTAAGGAGGCTGTTCCGGTGGCACTTGTGTTTTACTGTAAGAAGGTCATGGGTTGTGGGCCTTCTGTACGACGACCCCTCTCCCATCACTGTGGAGAAAGGGAAAAATACACACAACAATTTGAAAGTACTTTGTGACTCCTTGTGGTGCTAAATAAATAAAGATGACTTACTTACTGAGGAGGAGGCGACATCTGATGGCGTTCTGGCAGTAGGTAAGGGTCTTTCACTGATTTGAGAGTCATATCATTACTGAGCGTCACTTTACTTAAAGGAGCAGTATGTAAAAATCTGGCCAAAAGTGGTACTGCAACCTCTCCCACTCTCCCTCACTCAGGTTGCCAGATATGCAGACGAATCCAGCTGGGACCATTATAGCTGATTATACAACAGTTTTGTCAACAACAAATCCAGGATAACGAGGATTTCAATCGATTGAAATCCTCGTTTAGTCCTTGTTTTTTTGTTAATGATTTGAGAATCCTAATGAGACCTTTTTAGTTCTGCGGCAACATATTTTTTTAACGGTGAGATTAGCTCTACGCGGTGAGTTCTGGCAATCCGGATCACAGACTTTTTGATTGGTAAAACGGCGGAGGGCGGGACATCGAAATGAAAACAATAACAAGATTTCGGGGCTGTAAAACTAATTTTGAAATCCAAATCCTTCGGCTGAACTACTGTTATCAGTTGAAGAAGTATTCGAAAAGGGCATATTTTATAAATGCCTTTTGACAGATTAGAGCCATTTAATGATGACTTGACATGAAAATGAGACAATCAATACATTAAAATAAAATCACCTGGAGGCAAATGTACAAAAGGCAAGAACAAGGATCTTCTAAAAATATTGCGGTAAAACTTGGCATTCTAAGATAAGATAAGATTAACCTTTATTCATCCCTCAGTGGGAGAATTTCAATAATGTCATAGTTGCGCATATTACAGCCAAATAATGGGAGAAATATGAGCACTCTGGTAATGAACACATCACATAGAACTACTGTATTATAAAAGATAATTGTGTGGTGCGTAAGGAGCGGAGTCGGAGGCGGTGTGTCAAACAGTCAATCAATCAATCAATCAATTTATTTGAGCAGGTCATACAAAACAAAAAACAATCCAATAGGAAAACATTTCAAGAAAAAGTAGACACAGCTCAAAGGGAGTAAGCCGAAGTAAAATACTTGTGTGAGCTTACCCCAATTACATTTTCATATCGTTTTTCAATTAGGTGTGTGTTGTGTGTAGTGTGCGGTGTGTTGTGTGTGTGTGCGTGTAGTGTGTTGTGCGCAGTGTGTTGTGTGTGTGTGTCGGAGTGGGTACACATGCATGTGTGTATATGTTTGTTTCTGATAGTGGATGAGTGCTGTGTGTATTTGTATGTGTACTTGTGTTTATGCCTGGGTATAAGTGTATGTTTGTGTTTGTGTGGATGCACCCAGATTGAAATGTATTTGTGCATGTGTGCCTGAGTGGGTATATGCATCTGTGTGTGTGTGTGCACATTTGTTAGCCATGAGCATATCCAGAAATGTGTTTGCATGTACTACACATGTATGTGTCCCCGAGCTTGAGCTTCACACATGCACGCGTCCACACCCCTCAGTGTCTGAGCACGTGCTTGTGCCATGAAGATCCAGCTGTAGGAAAACCGTAAGCGCGCACACACCAGACACAGTGTGCACGTGTCTACAGATATTTACAAGATGAAAATCACCTGCATATTCTCACATTTGTAAACATGAGCATATACAGCAAGTGCTGTACATTGTGCCAATAAGTAAGGTCATTATTCAGTAAACAGAAACTCCAAGCAGGCTACAGTAGGAAGTCTACTGTATACGCAGTACAAGTACAATATGTGAGTTAGCAGGTTTGGCTAGACTAGTGAGAAAGCAGAAGTTTCATAACAGATTTACAGTCCTTCTTCAACTTCATTTTTTTTTTTGATCACCACCACGGTAACAATAGTTCCATTGGTGAATTATGTAAACCACCACACTAGATAATAAACTCTCAAGCTATAATTGCACTTGGGTCAAAGATTTCCTATAGATTCCATGGATTCACAAAGATAACCGTACAATCAGAGTATTTGGCCACAATGAAAAGACAACATCAGGGAATTCAAGATGTTGTTACAATTTAATACGATTTTATTGTTTTAAAATAGTATAAGATAATATTTGTACAAGTGTACAGGGTAAAATCAAAACGTTTAGGTTAATGTAGCAATCAACATGAAGACTTCACATAAGGATGAAGTGAGTAGATACTTTTATATTTGATTCTTAATGCTCAGTCCTGCCTGCTCGATGACTCATATCAGCTTGGTTCTGGTGTCCAATGGAGATTTTTTATTGTTTGAATTATAAAATCAACTAAATTCATGACTATATAATGAAAGGGAATTTTTTTTTGCAAGTTAAGGATCAGTTATTCACTTTACTTGATTTTCATGATAAGTTTTTTATTGATTGAATTTGTTGTTGTTTTTATATTTTGATTATCACATGTGTTTGGAGAGTGTGGTAAACAGTGACCTATGTACTGCACAGGTGGACAGATGCAAGACAAAATAATACTAACAACTTGGCCTTGTGGAGGTCTCAATGGCCACAGAGACTTTTGTTGTTTAGGCTATTTGGTGCCGGAGGTTTGGCCTTTTTTTGATGACGTAAATTTCTTTTGTTCTGTCTGAAATTAACGACCATTTTGTGAATAAACCAGCCAGGAGGCTTTGTTGTACAAAGAGTCTGTTTTGCCTGAGTCTGATTTCTCTCAGATGATTTAAAAACATCTGAGATAAATGTTTTTCATCGTTACACAAGGAGTCGTGGAGGAGGGCGTTGGGTTGGAGATAAATAATAAAAAATGGGACATGACATTATGAATGAGTAAAGCAGCGGTGTTTGGAAAAAAATTAAATTCATTATAAGAGGAGAAGATACACTTGATTGATCTCACGGTGGATAAATGTACATGTTAGGTTTGGCATCAATAGGTTCATGTGTACAAAAGACAGGAAATGTTAAAACAGGAAAAAATATATGGGGCGTCTTGTGTGCATTCTGTCCTCATGTAACTTATGTTAGGTTTCTAAGATATCTTTATATTTATATTTAAACTTAAAACTTAACTTTATATTTTTCTATTCAAGAATCATCAACAAGAATCTTGACCAGTATATTATTTTTACGGTTTCTAAAACGCACCATTCAAAATTTTTAGATTGATTTCCAAAGTTACAGTGGCCAAAAGTTGTTCTGAGTCTTCACCAGAATAAAATGTTTGTGTTATTAACAAAGACAATACATTACATTGTACATTATTAATATTGCAGCTCTGCAGATGGTACAAAATTATTCATTATGGGTCAAAACAAAGCAAAACAAGACAAGCTGGAATGTGGCATCCTGTTTTTGTTCATGGGCTGAGCATGTAGTCCAGAGGGGCAGGACACACGGCTCACGTTTTCAGACTGCTGCTCCATCCTCGCACCAAAGTCAGACAACTTTCAACCACCCTTCTCTCATCTCCAGCACCACAGACTAAAGCTGAAAAATGGGCAAAATTAACGGATGTCTCAAATGCCTTTTTATCTTCTTCAATGTTGTGTTTGCAGTAAGTTACATTTTAATTTCTTCTGGGGAAAAAAATGTGTTGCCTTAAAAAACAGTGTAATTTTCTGTGTGTACAGTATTTATCTGATTAACCCTTTTGGCGTAAAAGCAGCAGCTCCAGGAGACTTTTCTTTTTCGCTTCAAACATCTCCACACAGCATTTTTTCAATACGTATCATTTCATGTATTAATGCTTCATTAGTGTTTTATCTACTTCAGTTTCAGGACCTCGGACCTGTTTTTATCTGACCCTCATCAAAATGTATGAAAAAAAGCAAAACAAACAAGGAATAATTTGTGTTAATATGTGTTTTTTCTCATTAAATATATAAATACAGATTATAGGAAAATTGTTACAAAGTACAAGTTTTATGGAAACGCATTCTCCAGTGTAATTACCCATGTTGCATAACTTTCCGTAAGTAGAAAGAGAGATGGGGGATGGGAAGTGGCAGAAACACTGGTGCTCACATTTCAGCGTGAGCCCCACCCCAACTTTTTCCCCCCATTTTGAGGACAATTGAGACACTTAACAGAAATGGTGCATCAGTTGTATTCTTAAACCTTTGTCTCCCCCTGGCTGCCAAATAACAGACAAACGAGCTTCGACCACTCAAAAAAGAAAAGATAAAAATCAAAGTGGGATTATAGAAGGTGAACATAAATGTTTGGGTTGATACCATTTGAATTCAATATATTTATTTAATATATATACATACATACACACACTTTTGTCACAAGACATTCCTTTAGAATTACTACAGAATCAGAATAATTTTATTGCCAGGTAAGTAAAAGAGGAAGTCACAAACTAGGACATTGGTTTGATAGAGAATAGAAGATCATGTCTAATCTAATGCAATCTCAACCAAACCTGGAGCTTCTCTGTACATTGTCTCTGCACATTGTCAGACAATGTGGCAGTAAAACGGTATAGTTGGATGTCGGTTGCTACCAACCGTTCACACGAATACTGCGTTTCAGGGGGGTGAAAACGTAAGTGTTCAGATCCAGCCTGCAGAGTGGGACAACTCTGGAAAGGACAAACAAGCACTTTTGGATAAGGACAACTTTTCCACTGCAATGTTTGTATCTGTTTACACCAGTAAAAACAGCTCTTGGCAGGCAAGACTTCCATCAGTTTGGTATTTGTGTGCATTTATTCATGCTCCATATTGTTGTATTTCTTTCTTAGATCATTGGATGCCTGCTGATTTTTGGAGCAGTCAAGTCTACTGCTGTCAGTAGCCAGGTACAATGCATTTCACTTTTATATCAAAATTCAACTTTGTGAAGAAGATGACATAGTCTGGGATCGTGTCTTACATTCCGACAGAAGACATGTTTTATTGTCGATGGTAGAGACAGCACGAACAAAGCACACGAGCACAGATACAAGAGAATGCAAGTGTATTATACAGAGCAGAGGCATGGAGACCTCCAATCAGCAGCTTCCACGGTGTGCTTGTAGCTTGGCCTTCAGATAGACAAAACAAGGGAAAAGTACTGGCTTCTGCACATTGATAGAATGATGAGTTTAACCTTAACAAAACTTGCTTCAAAGTGTTATGAAATCTCATATTCCCCCCTCTGGTCATACATTCACGTGTGACCATCAGGATCGATAAACAGCAACATAACATCATTCCTCAATACTTCAAAAACTCATAAACTCGGTACTTCAAAAAACTCAGAACTCAGAATACTTCAAAAACTCAGAAAACTCATAAAACATTTTCAGATCTTTCATAAAACTTGTCAACAATCTTCAGTAAAATACCCAACTTCATCAGTCGATGGTGGTTCCAGATATTGCTTTGAAAACAGTCTCTCCCACTTCTCCGTGTTGGTTTCTTCAGGCTGCATTTATCGTGTCGAGCCATGAATTCTTCTGTGACGTGTCTTTCAATCACACGTTTCAGCTTCAGTGTCCAGATTTAGCAAATCAATTCAGTCCAAATTATGTCCAAATTCAGAAATCCAATTGTTCCAAATTATGTCCAAATTGTGTAATCCAATTTTTCCAAATGATGTCCATGCAAAAGAGGACGCTGGTATTGTCCATGTCTCAGCAGCTCACAGTCTGAGTGGAATCAGGGGCTGTGCAGATTGTCCATGTGCTGGTCCAGATGCATGGTTTCTCTTGAGGTTTCTCAGTTTTGGCTTGAAAAAAAAAACACATTTTTGTGTAAAAAAAAAAAAAGTAGTCTTCTGTTCTCTAGATGTTACAGACAATGCCCGCATCCTTCCACCACCTGAAGAAGGTGACATGTCTGGGATCGCGTCTTACATTCAGACAGAAGACATGTTTTATTGTCAATGGTAGAGACAGCACGAACAAAGCACACGAGCACAGATACAAGAGAATGCAAGTGTATTATACAAAGCAGAGGCATGGAGACCTCCAATCAGCAGCTTCCACGGTGTGCTTGTAGCTTGGCCTTCAGATAGACAAAACAAGGGAAAAGTACTGGCTTCTGCACATTGATAGAATGATGAGTTTAACCTTAACAAAAGTTGCTTCAAAGTGTTATGAAATCTCATATTTGAATAAAACTCAAAGTGATTCCTTTTCACAGCAATCGCTTCCACTGTCCATTTTGATTCCACGATAGTGTTTCAAACCCTTTTTTTTAACTCCCGTCTTTTGTGTGAATCATGCACTGAAATTGTAAACAGCTTTTCGTAGACAGGATGTTGGCAGGCACGGAAAGCTATAAACTGCAACAATTAAATCAAGACGTGCACAACAGAAAGTGCTCCAAACAGTTGCCTGAAAAGCCCCCATTATATTTTAAACATTTTTTATGAGACAGATTCCAAGTAATATTCCAGAAATTGACAGTCTTTTATACATAATAGCTGGCCCAATATACAATGGCCACCCCCATTTCCATCTCTGTGTGGAGAGAGAAAACTGTTTCACAAAGATAAAGATTGGTTTTGTTTTGTTTGTTTTCAGCTTTCTTCAGTGGGGACTCCAGGAATAGGGTGGGGATGGGTCTTTGCCATTGGAGTCCTGGGCATTTCTTGCCTGGGAATCTACGCCGGATGCTCAGAGAAGCAGCTGGTGCTTAAAATTGTAAGTTAAATATTTGCAAAGATCAAATACAACTTTCAAGGTCCAGATTCCGCCGGATGTTGAAGTTCATGGGGTTAATACTGCTTTACCCAATGTTCCAATGTGAAGCAGGGGTGAAAGAGAAAGTGAAAGATTGGGCTTGTCTACATAACTGCCTTCGTTATTTCTGATTAATCTTTAGAACATGATTTTCTGGTTCTCAGAGTGTGCTTTTGTGATAGTTTGCAGGTTTCATGGTTGCTGGAATGGTCGTCATGCTGATCTTTGGCATCTATATAGTTGTCACAAGAAACAAGGTAACGTGTTTACCGCATGTATCATCATTCCAATGTGTCTTTTCAGCAAATTAGTAAGCTCTTTAATTCAATGTAACATTAAAACATCAACAGTGTTGGGTAGGATACTTGGAAAATGGATTCTGTTCCAGAATACTGATTTCATGACTTAAAATGTATTTTGTATAGTTTTCCATTATTTTGGAAAAAGATAGTACCTATATTCAAAATACTTACAATACTTTTAATTATTATCTTTGTATTATATATTGTAAATTAATGTAAATTTCAAAATATTTAGAACCACAACCTCAATAAATGTTTAAAAACATTTTAACTTTTTAATTTTATTTTTGTAAAACAAGTCAAAAGTGATTCAACAGCTGCCATTTAACAACCAGAAAAAAGAGAATCTTCACTTTTCTTTATTTCTTTTCCTTTTTTAACGTTTAAACATAATGTAACTGCAGTCTAAATACTACACATTAGATTCAGATTCATTTATTTGCCATTTGCAGTAAAACCCTTTTGGAATACATTTGCAAAAGTCCCCAGTGTGCACAAGACAAGTACATAAATAAAACAAGATTAAAAGTACAGAAATACATAAAAAAAAGGTAAACAATTGTCACTGTGAAATTGATCGACTAAAACAGTTTCAATAAAAGTGCAAGAACATTAAAGTGCTCTGTTTAAACTGATAACAGCTTGTGGAAAGAAGCTGTTAGCATATCCAGATGTCCTGCATCTCAGCGAACGATATTGTCTGCAAGAAGGAAGAAGCTGGAACATGGCTTTTCCAGGGTGGCAGAAGAGTAACTGTAAGGGAATGCAGTTACTCAGAATTCTGAAAACGTAATGGCGTTACATGTATTCAGGCCCGTCGCAAGGGGGGTGCGAGGTAGAGCCCTGCACGGGCCTATTATCTGGGCCCGAGCCCGGCCCTGGCCCGAGGGGGTGGCGCCCCAGCCCGGCCCGGCCCGATATGGTTTCTGAATTTTCAGGCCCAAAACCCGCATCAAGCCCGCCTTTTTTTTTTTTTTGTAACCTCCCATAACAATGTTTTAGCGTAGTATATAGTGCCGCGCACTGATATGAACGCAGACTTAGCTAGAGGGCGGAGTTATACATGGTAGTGATGTGTTGCAATTAGTTCTGTGTGTGCGGAGTGGTGCAGAGTGGTGCAGAGTGAACGGCCGCCTCTGTATGATGCCCCCGATGCTGCAACACATCTGCACATTACATAAGTAATGCTATGTGCCGTCAATGACAACACTACACAGAACAACAAACACTACAGCGTGATAGAACGCTATATTCAGTGGGTGCGTTCGTAAATGTATTCTGCCGCTCTGAAAATGAAGAGCCCGAGCCCGGCCCGTGTCCGAGGTCATTATGCGGTCATCGGCCCGAAAACAGGTGTTCTGCCGAGTTGTGCCGCTCTGCCAAAAAGTGACGCTTATGTAATGCTCAGCTGTTAATGATGTAATGCAAACCTGCGCGCATGCGCGTCTCAACCAAAGCATACCAAGATGGCGGACCGTGAATTGCTTTAAAAGTTGAAATACGAACGAATAAAGACACGAATGTCACTTTTAATGCAATTTGAGGCGAGATGTTGATGGTTCCGTTTTGTCACATGTGGGTTTTAAGAGTCAAAGTTTTGTGCAAAGTTTAGTTAAAGCAGTCAACTGCGCCTGTGAAACCACAAAGCTAATGTTTTCATAGCAGTCCGCGGCTGCTGACGTAGGCTGATGACGCGTCCTACACTGGTCTGTCGGGTTGATAATGGAAAATGGGGAAAAAAATCAATCTAATTAAATATTTTGTTTGAACACACTATTGTTAATCATATTAAATACAGTACGATACATGTATTGAATGAAATTTATTATTTCCATTATCAACCCGACAGACCAGTGTAAGAGTGTAGAGTGGCCACAGGACGCGTCATCAGCCTACGTCAGCAGCCGCGGACTGCTATGAAAACATTAGCTTTGTGGTTTCACAGGCGCAGTTGACTGCTTTAACTAAACTTTGCACAAAACTTTGACTCTTAAAACCCACATGTGACAAAACGGAACCATCAACATCTCGCCTCAAATTGCATTAAAAGTGACATTCGTGTCTTTATTCGTTCGTATTTCAACTTTTAAAGCAATTCACGGTCCGCCATCTTGGTATGCTTTGGTTGAGACGCGCATGCGCGCAGGTTTGCATTACATCATTAACAGCTGAGCATTACATAAGCGTCACTTTTTGGCAGAGCGGCACAACTCGGCAGAACACCGGCCCTCGGGCTGTCGGGCCGTCGGGGCCCTCGGGCCAAGGGCTCAAGTGCAGGGCTCTAGTGCGAGGCCCTGTGCGAACTCGAAACGCGAGGCCCTGCCCTGACACTTTTTTCCCAGATCTGAGGAAAGTTTTTCCTGTTATAATCTTTGACATGAATTCAGCACCACCTCGCGCGGTGCTTGACGAGATCAGCACGCGCGTAACCGAGTGTCTTCGCTCCTATGCAGCGTTTGGCGCGCGCACGTACACACGCACACACACTCTACGGCACTTGGTATTGCAATATTGGTCGCGGTCTTTTTAGCTGACATGTCTCTTTCGTCCTGTGGCAAAATGGTAGAGCAACTCAAAAGATTGAACCAAAAGGAGTCTTTTTCTTCTAATAGTTAGATTTTGGCAAAATGCGCCAAAATGGCTATGAGGCGGAGTCAATATTATTATTTTTTTCTCATCAAATAACGTTTTTGCCATGCCTCCACACACTCTGACAACATACGCTCCTCCTCCTCCACACTGACAACAACAAAATACTCTTCACCTCCTCCTCCACACACTCTGACCACAACAAAAACACTCCAGCTAGCTAAAGCTAGACATACAGTGTGTTTGCTAATGCTTTTAAAAATATGTTTTTGATGTGGATATTCGGACTAAACATTGGCAATAGCAGCGCTCACACACCTGTCACACCGCTGCTCCTCCGCGAGTATCCATCTCTCCTACACTGCGATCATTCCCGTTACTTTCTTTGTATCTCACTCAGACACTGCTAAAGTTATCTGACAGTTTTTTCGGAGGACCCGCTGCATACATAGCTGCCCGCGCGCCTGCCTGTTTACAAATCGCTTTTGGTGAAAATTTGACTTTACTTGTAAAAATGTTCTTTTGATCAAACGAAATCAAAGAGGTCCAGAGAAAGGGGTTTAGGGTTCCAAATTTGGAGTGCAGTCTGCCCTTTGGGGACCCTTGAACTAGTGTATTTATAAAATAAAATAAAAGGAAGGAAGATTGCGAGGCCCCTGTGTGGTGCGAGGCCCTGTGCGACGGCACAGGTCGCACAGCCCTTCGGACGGGCCTGCATGTATTCCATTACTCCCCAACACTGATCATGACATTGAATAAACCTTGTCCAAATGACTTCTTTTGAAATGCAAATGGTCTGAGTTCTCATGCAACACTCATGTTTTGGCAGCTCAGAGATGTGTTCACAAACGCTGCGTCGGAGGCGAGCGAGGCCTTCATGCAGCAGGACAACTTCAGAACTTCGCTGAAGGATCTCCAGACTGCCGTAAGAGGAAATGACAACTATGGCTCTTTCACACTTATTGGTCAAATGGTCTGATTCACATTGAGTGAGTCAACTTTAAAGCTGCACTTTCTCACTTTGTGACATTTTCGAATGTGAGCGCTGGCCTCGCTCTTTCTGCTCCCCCTCCCTTCACTCATAAAGCCATTGCCTCCCACTACCCCCCTCCCACTCAGCCTGTGTTTATGGAGCTCACGTCTCACAATATGGATCGCACATTTGAACGTGGATGGCGTTACCATAGAATGATAGAACCGGGAACCGCGGAGGAATGAGACTTTCTTTTGGATGTTTCGCTTGGTGGTGGCTGAAGGGGTCGATGGTTTACTGTATGGGTCAAGTTTGGGTGTCATTGTTGAGAATACGTTTCTTGATCTGACTTGTGTGTTTGTGTGTGTGTACGTGTGTCTATGTATGTGTGTGTGTGTGTGTGTGCGTGTGTCTGTACTTATGTTTGTGTGTGCCTGTTGGCAGTGATGGGCAGTAGCGTCGCTACTAGCTTAACTACATTTTTCAGTAGCTTGACAGTAGCTTCACTATTTACAAAACCTAGTAACTTTTCTGTAGCTAAGCTATATTATTGCTCAAGTAGCGCGGTAGCGTCCGCCAAAGCTATTTTCTCACGGACATCTCTGATGTTCATATATTACAGCATTTTCCCGCAGCATAAAACAAACATATAGAAAGACAGAATGCTGATGCGCATGCGCAGGGCTTGGTAACGACACACACACACGAACGTACGCGCACACACACACACACGCACACACACACACACACACACACACACACACACACACACATGCGCGCGCGCTACTGGGGGAAGCAAAAGCATGGCAGAGAGCCCAGGAGCCGCCGCGGTGGAGGAGGACCATGATAAGGACTCTCAAAGTGTTGTACCGTGGCCATACCTCCAAAAGTACGTCACTCTAGTCGAGATGAGCGAAAAGAAATATGTTTTCAGATGCCTACTCTTTGTTGTTTTTGGTGTTTTGGGCTATTGTTCAATAAATATCTACAAAATTTTAACCTGACTGACAGTTTATCTCAAATAAGAAGATAAGCTTTATTAATCTCACACAGGAGAAATTTACATGTCACATTTGGCATGGATAAAACACTCAAGAATTGTGCAAAAAATAAGAAAAGAGCAAACATGTTAATGCAGGAAAATATAAAATTGCATGAACTGCAGTTTGTTTAATTGAAAATAGCTTCTATATAGCAAGCTACTTTTGACAGAATTTTGTAACTTAGCTTGCTACATTTGTATGGGTGGTAGCTTCTGTGTAGTGAAGCTGAATTTATTGTAGAGTAGCTTGTAGCTTAGCTCACTACACAAATCAAGTAGCTTGCCCATCACTGCCTGTTGGTGTGTCTGTCTGTTTGTGTGTGTGTGTGTCTGTCTGTGTGAGCGTGTCTATGTATGTGTGTGTGTCTGTGTGTGTGCGAGTGTCTGTATTATCTTTATATATAACTGAGGTGATTATTGAACCAGGATGGACATAGTTTACATTTCCACAAAATGTTCTATCTATTCAGCCCAAAGACTATGATGATGATATTTCTAAAGTGCACCACAGTCCAGACAAATCCCGGTCTGAACTCACTCTCAAACACTATTGTTGAAAATGTTTTGAGTTTCTATCTCTGTTTGTGTCTGTGTGTGTGTGTGCTTCAGGGAGAGTGCTGTGGGCTGAGCAAAGCTGAGGACTGGGGCTCCGTGATCCCAGACTCCTGCTCCTGTGATGGCTCTAACGGGGGATACAGGGGATACGGGATTGGATTGACAAACAAAGGATGTAAAGCCAGACCACAAGTAGGTTTTTCTGTTTTTCATTAAAACACTGCTATTTTATACATAGACTTTTGTATATTTGTATTTAACAAAAATGTATATTAAACAACTAAATCACTGTCATGTGATATTAAAAAGTCCTTTGTGACTAATAAACACGATGACCAAGTGTTGAGTCTCGGTAAAATGCGTTTCCACAGAACTAGGAGCTATACCCGTTTCTGCAAGGTTTAATGTGCTACTTTCCATCCATTGTCCCACATTCACAAACACACATTCACGCTGAACTATTGCACATGTTTTTAGTGGTAGGGGAATTTGAACCCAGAACCTTCTTGCTGAGAGTGAGGCGAGAGTGCTAGGAGAACACAAAAATGACCTAATGCAAAATGAAATGGAATGAAATGGTTGGGTGGATAGGTGAGAGTGCTATCTCAGCCACCGTGCCGCCCAAAGATCTCTGTTCTCTTCCTAGCATCTTTAACAACCCATTGTTTTTGTTTGCAGGGCACTACCGGCCCAGATCAGATCTACGCCACTGTAAGTTTTTGTTTATTTTTACTATTTTTTTTACTATTAAGTACATGTTAGATATTTGATGATTAGCAATTTCCCCTTTAACACATTTATGTTGTCCTCAGGCCTGTGGAGAATTCCTCTTCAATACTGTGGACCTTATCCTAAAGATTACAATTGGCTTCTGCTTTGGATGTGCAGTTACAGCTGTAAGTTATTTTTGTCATTATCATAACAATAATGATAATAATAATATCAATACTAATTATTAGTAGTAAGTTACCATAGACTGTATATATAAATACTAGTTTATACTAGTAGATATTCTATTTATTATTATAACTATATTATTATTATTATTATTATAGTTTTATTATTATTATATTTATTTTTATTTTATTATTTATTATTATTTATTATTTCGATTCTGACACAGTTTGTACTTTCCTGACCAATCTTTGGTATTCCTAAAATCGTCTTCAGTTCCTTTAAAACAATAACTCTCGGTTTCAGTGATTTATTTATTTATTTTTAAATAATTGCCTTGTTCTGTTATAGTTAAAAGTGCATATTTGAAAGTGCATCTCCATTTTATTATACCAATTTTCTAATGCGTATAAGCCTCATTTTCTCAAAACAACCAGAACAAATGAAGGAAGCCATTTCTTTCTATTTCATTTTGCATGAAAACACCGATCTGACCTGTGTGTGTTTGTGTCTGTCTGTGCGCGCGTGTCTGTGTGTACATGTGCGTGTCTGTGTACATATCTATGTGTGTGCACGTGTCTATTTATCTGCCTGCATGTCTGTGTGTTTATATTTGTGTCTATGTGCGCGTGCCTGTGTCTTTGTGTGTCTATGTGCGCGTGCCTGTGTCTCTGTGCGCGTGCCTGTGTCTCTGTGTGTGCGTGTGCGTGCGTGTGCGTGTGTGTGTGTGTCTATGCAGTTGCTGGGGCTGTTGGTCACACTGCTCATGCTGCACCAGGTGAAACGTCACGATGGAGATGGCCCTGGTATGACCATGAAGAACTACTGAAGTCTGCGCTCCTCCCTCCATCGCTGCAGCTCAGCAGTGGCTCAGGACTGCCTCCAAAATAGTTCAACTTAAACATTTGATTTCTCGTTGGAAACAAAAAACACACAAAAAACCTCATTTGATTGGTCCAACGGGTGTGCTACCATGATTGTGCCACTACTCTTGAGAAAGTACTCTGGAGTTACCATTATATTGAGCAAAAAATCAATTCTGCCTTCAGGAATATGATCACTCATTGGAATTGATGGGAAATAAGTGCACCACGAGCAGTCACTGAGTTTTACTGTATTTGGGATCAGATGGTGTTGCTTTTTTATGTGTACGCTTTGATAACCAAAACAATATTTTTTTACATATATCAAGAGTGTTTTATTGTATGTGTACGTCAATGAAGAACATGTGCTATAGTTTTCAAAACATCACTTGTCAAAATATTATAGACTTTGCTATAATATCATAATAAATTCTGTCCATACAAACATGTAGACAAGACTGCACGACCGCTTGATTTCATTATCTTATTTCATTTTCAAAACTGGACAAATAATATCGAAATGTTTCAATAAAAATGGTAAGTGAAAAACACGTGAAGATTTCCTGCTTCACTTGCACTTTACCTAAACACTCCGTAGGTGGCAGCAGCGCACAAACTTTCCAAAGCAAGAATGTGCAAGTTAAAAGTTAACCCTCAGAATGTAGGATGTGGCTGAGTTAAATGTTATACTAGTAAATGCGTGTAAACAATAAACATTTCATACCACATTATTTTGTTCGCTGACCAGGATAAATCCCAAATATATCCTTTTTCTTTCGACATTGCTCAAATTGGAATTTCCCTCTGATTTATGTCTATTTACTATATTGTATTTTTCTCTTCATCTATCAACAGGCATGTATTTTTCTTTAGGTAGAAAGGAAAAGGCTCTTTCTCATAAGCTGTTATACTCATACAGTATGTATACATATGAAGTATCGGCAGAACGGGGACAAAACATCTCGTTATGTTTTATGTGTAGCGATGTGTGCTCACTTTGTAAATATTTCACAGGAAGCACTTCAATTGTGCTTTTGTTCCTGGATCGGTCCCATGTCCCTGTGCTACTGCCGTGTTTAAAAATGTTGAGACCGCTGTCAATATGTGCAAATGAAACATTCGTAATCTCTAACAATGATTTGGTTTTGGTTGACAGAACTTTTCTATTATTATTATAATGAATTCATTGCCTGAGAGCATGAGATTAGAGAATTGTGTTGCTGCGTTTGACTGGAGTCTGAAGTCCTCCCACTGCATTGAGTCCTGTGAACGAGACCACTGCAGATCTGCACCTGGCAACAAACACCACAAGGCAACCGCAGGTGAGACGTTTTGTTTTTTGTGCTGCATTCATAATACCGTCTACATTTACATACGTGACGATGGCTTTGTCCTGTTTGAGTTTAGTTTCATGCGGAAGACATAGATATAGTTAACAAGAATTATACAGTTGAAATGTTGAATTAAATAAAAAGTGAATTGAATTTTAGTAATGCATTTATGGTAGAGGAGAGACCATCACATTCCACAAATCTGGCCCTAACCCTATATTCTCTATACCATTGCCACATAAAGAAGAAGCAGGCTAAATAAGTGCATTGATTTGGTTCATTTATCAGTAGTTTTGATACAGCAGAATCCAGAAGCCAACATAATGATTATAATGTTATTTATTCAACTTATAAAGCAAAGTTATTTTGTCTCAATGATACAATATAGAGATTACATTGTCAGTCGTGCTTCCAAATGTTGTCAGTTAAATCTATCGTGAGCGCAAAGGCCATGATATCATTATTTGTGCTGTTGTTTACAGACATGTGCATTTTTGTGGATAAGAAATATACATCTTTACTGTGAGAATTCATACTTAAAGATGTATGGGAGGATTTTCTTTTTCTGGGTGGATCAACTTGAGTCTAGAGGTCAGCTCCTAATTGTCATTTTGTTGATGTGCCAGACACTTTTAATAGATGTTTCCACTGAGCAGGGTGGTTCCTTCCTTAAAAAATGCGGGGAAATCGTCCTATGTACCTTTAATTGATATATTTTCATTGTTTTCATTCCAACTGTGTCCGAAAAACCCAACTCTTATGCTCCAATAAGAGTTGACCCTTTTTCGACAATATGAGGCGCAACAGACAAATGGTGGAGCCCTTGATAAGATATCGAGGACGGCTAAAATCCATTCATCCATCCATCCATCCATTTTCTTCCGCTTTATCCGTTGCCGGGTCGCGGGGGCAGCAGTCTAAGCAGAGACGCCCAGACTTCCCTATCCACACACACCTCCTCCAGCTCGTCCGGGGGGACCCCAAGGCGTTCCCAGGCCAGCTGAGAGACATAGTCCCTCCAGCGTGTCCTAGGTCTTCCGCGGGGCCTCCTCCCGGTGGGACGTGCCCGGAACACCTCCCCACTCCCCAGGTCCGGCTAAAATCCAATAACAGAAATAAATAAAAGATGTCACATTGCCTTTTTGGACACTCAAAGACACTCCACATCCCATTCTTCATTCACTCCGGTGATAAACTACTATTTCAGCCACCAACCATTCACACACACTCCAAACTCATTCTAGGCAATATGAGTCAGATGTTTTGCTGAAGACCAATACCCCGCTGTGGCACCTGGTGTTCCCAGAGGTCTCCCATTACAGTGCTAGCCAGTCTCTACCCTGCTTAGCTTAAGAGGTCTGACAGGATCTGGCTTTCACTTGCAGGAATGGCCACAAACACTATAACAGTGTTTTCAACCAGTCTGCTGTGGGATGTTAGTGTGCCTTGAGATGCTGTTTGGTGTACCTTTGAAAATTATCCGATGTCATCTAATTGGTCAAAATAATGTGACTTTTTTTTTTTTTTCAAAGATTAAACAGACTTTTTTGTGCACATTTGATTCTTGACATAAACAAAATTGATGGGAAGGACATTCCATTGATAATTGTGGCTGTGTGATTCATTTTTTTTATCAGTTTCAGCTGATGGTGTGCCATGTGACTGTGTTCACTGGAAAAGGTGTGCCACGGCTCCAAAAGGTTTGGGAACACTATCCTAAGACATGTGGGGAAACATTGATGGAATACCAAGTCTCTGAATACTTGAGTTACTTTGGCGCCTAAAGAGCCACAGTACAAGATGGAAAGGTAAATGTATGAAACAGGAATCTTTTAAGGAATAAATTAACAATCCAAATAATCAATCAAGATAGAGACATCACAACACGACCCCATCTCTACATATCGGAGAAAGCAGAAGCGGCGAGCTTGTCCCATCAGAGTGTGGCTTCAGGAGGACATGCTGGTGCCCGAGGGCTGAGTAAAGACACTTCACAGAATCACAAACATCTGACAAGAGGCAAGCGCAGCACGCTCTGTCCACTCGCCTCAGGGCACAGCTTCCACACAGGCCAACAGAGGGCACAGGTCAAAGCAGCTCCAACACTGACAAGGCATTTCGCTGACAGCAGACTAACAGTGAGCGTCCACAAGGAGCTGTGCGAGCAGAGCAGAGCCTCATTGAAGAGATAACCTCAGAGACTCCTGCCCTGTGTCCAGACAGCTCCTTTATCCACTCATCTTAAATGTGGATAAAAATGCTAGCTTAATAACCTACAGTGCTGTGCAGAGTGGTGGAAGCGAGACAACTAATCTGTGCCATCAGCTCCTCTGTCCACCAACAATTATTCTAGCACACACCAGACTCAAACTAGGCAATCAAGTTAAGTTAAGATATACTTCATTGTCTCCATATGTCCTCTGAATCTTTGACCCATTTATCAATAATTTTGTCTGGCAGTTGTTGCTGTAGTGTCCCTTAATTATGATTGGTCAGGAATAGCAGAGGTGGAAGATTTCACCTATTGTACATGCAAACTCCACTCAGAAAGGTCCTGATCTGAGTGCTAACCTGCTAGCCTCCATGGCACCAATGTGGGTAAAGTGTATTGCCAAAGAACGTAATGACAGTTTGGCACTATACAGCCACAGCCGCTCTGCTGCAGCATCTGGTGTTCCCAGAGTTCTCCCATCACAGTACAAACCAGGCCGACAAACAACAATATTATTCAGGATTTTTTACTGAAAGATACAAAATACAAGGATTTATACAAGAATTTGCTTTGATTGCAGCAAAGTAAGCTTTAGATGTAAATTTGCTTATATTTAGATTAATGTACTAAAACCCAACTAATGTTCATCTTTTAAAAAAGAATATGGACAATTATTGAAAACTAAAATTATTTCAGACAGATCAGTCAGCCAGTGTAACACGCAGAGCAAACCTCACAGTTTTTCTGCTGCACTAAAATTATTCAAATTCGAACGCCAACGTAGAGCAACTTCACAATCAGTCATAACAATATTGCAGCCACCACAGGAGCTTTTCAGTCTAGGTGCGAATATAGAAAGTCGTTGAAAATCTGGCAATGCGAAAAGAGAGACACAAGATTATAATAATATCTCTAGGAATGTTTTACACAACCACATGCAGCTTTTAAAACAGTGTGATAATGTTGTAGTTATTTCCATCTTGTTCAATGCCTCACAGTTTATGGTTTCCACAGAAAAGTAAAAAAAAAGTTTAAAAAATGTGTATAGGCATACTGATAAGTATTGTTTTGTACCTATTGTTTGTTAACCTACTTTGCTGGAGCATTTATTTGTCTGGTGACTTTTTTACTTTTACCAATGCCTAATACAGCCACAACTGTTCTAATGCCCCACACATACACAATTGTTTTAATGTGCTGTTTTTAATGCCACATACACTTATAAATCCACATCTTCTGTGAATGCATGTTAAATGACCGGACCAGACTCCTAACCATGATCTATTTCACATTTTATCAACTGTCCATTTTAATCTGTTTTGAACGCTTCACATATACAGGCTGCGTGATGAATAGACCTTGTTTTCACGGTCAATTTGGCTTAATGCTTAAAAGTGTCCTGAGCATTGCTGTTCACCCGCTG